ACATAAATGCCCTCTGGTCCTGTCTTTCTTCCTTGTATTGTAGTGTCAGCTGACTTTTTTCTGCCAATGCACACATGGCGACTTGAAGAGAAAAGAAAGCAAAGTTGAGTTATACCCAGATTAGGGTTGTAAGGTTTCTTATTGTGACAGGAACCAAAGAGGATGACAGGATGCTTTGGAAAGCCACTGAAATTTTCTAAGAAAGAGACCAGCTGGTTTTGAGTATAGCTATACAAAGACCTAGGTGAATTGTTAACAGACCAGCAGCTTCATATTGTGAGCTCTAGGCCCAAGCCAGTCAGTATTGATTGATTGATACATATTGGAGAAATGTGAGGCACATTGTGACTGTATTGGGGCATGCAGTTAATGTACTCACTCTTGGGAAACTGAGAATCTAAATGGAGAGGTGGAGCAAACAAATAGGAAAGAAATCTTAGGGCTCAGCCTGAAATACAAGCAAACTGCTTAAAGAGAATAATGACACTCCATGTTAGAGCAGAAGGAGGACACCTTTTCAGGTCATTGTGAATATTCCAAGCATCGGCATTGTTGAGTGGAGGCGTCTTAAGAACTGAAACCATGTCAAAGAAGGGAAAGGGGAAGGAATAGGAAGAAAAACAGACGGATGTTTGTTAGAAAGAAGGTTGTGTTCAAGTAGTGGCTCTTAAGTGACCCTTGGGAATCTCTGAGACACTTTTAGGGGGTCTGTAAGGCCAAAACTATTTTGATAAAAATACTAAGGTTGTGTCTAAAAAAATGCATAACACAATTTATCATCTTAATTGTTTTTAAGTGTTAATCTTCACATTGTTATGCAGCCAATCTCCAGAACTTTTTCATCTTGCAAATCTGAAACTCTATACTCATTAGACAACAACCCTAATTTTTTCCCTACCCCTAGCCCCTGGTAACCACTATTCTATTTTCTGATTCTGTGAATTTGCTTATTTTTCATATTTCTTATAAGTGGAATTATATAGTGTTTGTCTTTTGTGACTGACATATTTCACTTAGCATGATGTTCTCAAGGTTCACCCATGTTGTAGCATGTGACAGGATTTCTTTCTTTTTTTTTAAGGCTGAATTGTATTCCGTTGTATGTATATAGCACATGTTGTTTATTCATTCATCTATCATGGACATCTAAGTTGCTTCTACCTTTTGGCTGTGGTGATAGTATTTGTTTTTTTTGCTGAGTTGACATTTACAGTGATGATACAAAAACAATGTTGGGTAGAACTGCTAGTGCTTTAGCACAAATCAAGATAGAGTAACAAATTAAACCAGTAATTATGGTATCTTCACTGTCACACAATTGCAATGGGAAGAAAAGTCAAGTTCCACTTAAGAATATCTTTTCAATGTTCTGTGTGACAAAATGGGAAATATGCATTAAGCACTTCGCTATATATGCAGGTTGTCTCAAGGAAAAGCACTTAATGCAGTTGTTTGAGTTGTGAGCTGAACACAGCCCTGCTTTTATCATACTATTTTTCACTTGAAAGAATAACTGTCAGAACAACCATGAATTTCAGACATGGGTATTTCGTAAGACATTTTCTTGAAAATGAATGAAGTAAAAACCTATCACTTTACAGAAAATTACTGTCAGTATTTACTGCCAATGATAAAATTTGAACTTTTAAGTGAAAAGTAGAAGTTTGGGATATTTGTTTCTGCCACTGTGGGTGTGTTTCCCATTACTTCAGAAGTATTGCTTCCCAATACTTCAAAGACTTTTTTTTTTTATAAAATTGGTAATGATATTAATGAAAGTATGTGTTTTTTTGGTAGAACGAAATATGTCAACGTTAAGATTTGCATAGCTCAATGAACCAGTAGTTTTCAGTATATGATGTGACAACATCATGCATGAATAAAAGCAATTTAAAGTGAAAGATAGACCAGTGCATTTTAATGTAACAGTATGAAAAGTTCTTAGAGTTTAGATTCCACATTGCCACCAACCTTTAAGAAACTCCACTTGTCAACTTTCAGTGTAGTGTCAAAGGAGAATATCCACAGTAATCTAAAAAGGATACTGAAGTACTATTCCCTTTTCCAACAACATTATGTGAAGCTTGATTTTTCTTCCTATCAGTCAGTTCAGTTCAGTTGCTCAGTCATGTCCGACTCTTTGCGACCCCATGGACTGCAGCATGCCAGGCTTCCCTGTTCATCACCAACTCCCAGAGCTTGCTCAAACTCATGTCCATCAAGTTGATGATGCCATCCAATCATCTTATCCTCTGTCATTCTTCACATGCTTCAGTCAAAACAACTTATTGTAACAGGTTGAATACAGAAATAAATATGAAAATCTAGCTTTCTTCTGTTAATTCAGACACTAAAGAGATTTGCAAAACTCTAAAACACTACCACACTTCTAGATTTTTGGTTTAGAAAATAGTTGTTTTTCATAAAATTTGTTAATATGTAATGAGTTTACTATCACTTCATGGGAAATAGATGGGGAAACAGTGGAAACAGTGTCAGACTTTATTTTGGGGGGCTCCAAAATCACTACAGATGGTGATTGCAGCCATGAAATTAAAAGACGCTTACTCCTTGGAAGGAAAGTTATGACCAACCTCAATAGCATATTAAAAAGCAGAGACAGTACTTTGCCAACAAAGGTCCGTCTAGTCAAGGCTGTGGTTTTTTCCATTAGTCATGTATGGATGTGAGAGTTGGATGGTGAAGAAAGCTGAGCGCCGAAGAATTGGTGCTTTTGAACTGTGGTGTTGGAGAAGACTCTTGAGAGTCCCTTGGACTGCAAGGAGATCCAACCAGTCCATCCTAAAGGAGATCAAACCTTGGTGTTCATTGGAAGAACTAATGCTGAAGCTTAAACTCCAATACTTTGACCACCTCATGCAAAGAGTTGACTCATTGGAAAAGACCCTGATGCTGGGAAGGATTGGGGGGAGGAGGAGAAGGGGACGACAGAGGATGAGATGGCTGGATGGCATCACCGACTCGATGGACATGAGTTTGAGTAAACTCTGGGAGTTGGTGATGGACAGGGAGGCCTGGCGTGCTGCTTGCTCTTGTCTAAATTAATAAATATTTTAAATGTTCTGTTTTATTTTCTAACATGGTATATGTAGATGGATGTAACCCATGTATGCAGAAGCTCTTTGGAGTTCACTAGTTTTAAGACTGTAAAAAGGGGTCCTGAGCCAACAACTTTTGAGAACCAATGTACTAGGAAAAGTTATTCATTAAGCAGGAGGTGACAGGATACAGAATCTTGTCAAAGCGAAGTAGAAAGAGTGGTTTTCAGAGAAGGAAAGCAGGTAAAGATCTGTGAAATAGAATTGCTGATGAGAAATGAAAAGTCATTTGGGGCATCGATTATCTTGCCTATTTCTTTTCTGTCTGTGGCACCCAGATGTCTGCCAAACTTTCCTGTGATAGAAGTGACCTGTTAAGAATTGTTTGGTGGATTGTGAGCCCATTGCAGCCCAGTAATTTGATTAGAATGGGGAAGTTTGTGGTGGAACGGAATCTTTAGGACTGTAAACTTTCTAGTGTGAAACAGATTTTTACCATCTGCTTCACTTCCCACAACTCACTCTCACATCAGATCCAGAAAAAAAGTTCTCCCTGACCCTATCTGATGCAGTAATTTACAGGATTATGTGCATTTGTGCTAAGTTGCTTCAGTCATGTCTGACTCTTTGCAAACCTATGGAGTCAGACACAGCTGAAGCAACTTAGCACACAAGCTCAAATGTATGTTCCTCTCTTTTAAAAAAAAATGCATTTTGTGTTTTAGAATAGGAAAGGTACTCAGCCCTACTTTTTTGATTTTTGAACTGTTTCTACAAGGTCTTCTTTTCATCAAGTTTGCTTTTCTGTCCAAAATAAGGAACTTTGTGTAGCAATGTGAAATCACCAGTAAACATAAATATGATTGTTCTGGGGGAGGGGGTAATATTACTTGGAAAAATTCACAGTATTCCTTTCAAGGTATTCATTCAATTATTAGCTCAATCTATAGTAGTATTTATTCAAATTTCACAGAATCTAGAAGACAAAATTTTAGCCTGCCTACTATGCCTTGTATATTAGCACCAAGAAAGAGCTCTCCTTTTTTGAGTAATAAGCTAAAAGCCATTCTCATTGGTCTCCTCTTCAGATTAAACCTTTGAAAGACATCATCAGTGATGTTTGTACTTTTTAGACCCTCACACTCTGAGGAAACTTTAATATTTATTTAATTTTTTGACTTTAATATTTATTGGAGCCTCATCACTCAGAAGAAGGATTTTACCAGCTTGTAGCCTTCTTTTCTTTCTGAACTTTTCAGCCCTTTCCCCCAGAGCATCTCCTACTAGTTCTCCCTGTCGTTATCCTGTAACAGTAAGAGCAGGGGTAGTGGCACAGCAGCTGCTAACTGCTTAATACCCATTGCCTCTCTGAGGGTAGAGACTCCCAACTACCCTGATTTCCCAGATGAGGAAACTACCTGAGAGAAGCTAAGTAATTTCCTGACGGTCTCAAAGTATAGGAAGTGCTAGAGCTGAGACTCAAACCTTGGGGTTTTGATGGTAGCATCTTTACTTGTTCCATCTTCCGGCTGTCAGTCAGTTATCATTCTGCCATATTCTTCATGTCTATATAGACAAAGGATAGATAAATAGAAATGAAATTAGGATTGCCTTAGTTATCTAGTGTGCATAGCAAACCGCCCTCCAATTTAGTGGCTCAATATCTACTCAGGCCTAGAAACCCTTTAATGCTTAGTAAAAGATTTACTACCCTGGCCAGTTTCAGAACTACTCCCAAGCTTTTAGGTATGTAATTTCAGCGTCAACCAGCTGGTGCGTGATGTACATCAGTAAATACGGTCGATATTGATTCGGTCCTTTGTTAGGATGTGTCGTCCTATGTGCTTGGCACATGTAGCCCCTTAATGAAGGCTCATGAACAGAAGAATTACGTGGTGGTGCTATTCGCTTAACACTAGTTCCTCTTTCTGCCCGGCTTAGGTATTTGGCTCGAGTAGGAGATCTTGAAGCTACTGACACTGAAGACCCAGATCTGAATTATGGACTTGTTGTGGACTGTGGCAGCAGTGGCTCTCGGATTTTTGTTTATTTCTGGCCAAGACATAATGGGAATCCTCATGACTTATTGGACATCAAACAGATGAGAGACCGAAACAGCCAACCAGTGGTTAAAAAAATCAAGCCAGGTACTGAATGGAATTTATATCATGGTTGATCTCTTTTATCTGCTGCAGAAATGAGAGGAGAGAAGAGAAGAGGGAGAAAGAAAGCTACCCTTTTCTTCTGGAGATTCTGGATAATAGAAGGGATTCATTGTTGCCCTACTGTTATGAAATAAATAAATGATTAGAACCTAAAGAGAACCTTATGGGGTATCAGTCTTCTGAGTCTCTGTGATCTACTCTTTAATGAAAGTATTTTATCTTACTGAAGGAATCTCTGTGATGGCAGACACTCCAGAACATGCCAGCGATTACCTTCGTCCTCTGCTGAGCTTTGCTGCTGCTCATGTGCCTGTGAGGAAGCACAAGGAGACCCCCCTTTACATCCTCTGCACGGCGGGCATGAGGCTTCTTCCCGAGAGGTGAGACATAGGAGGGTGGTGGCACGCGAGTTGAAAGTGCAGTTTCATGCATTATTCTCTGTGCTTCCCTGATCTGAAGGCGGGGTGTGGGTACATCACACAAAGTTGACAAGTGGCACTAAAAGATTTCTTGCTCAAAATAGAGCAGAGGCAATCCTACAACCCATTATTTCACAATCAGTTGATCACACATCCATGGCATTTGCTTCTTTGGGATCAATATCTATTTGAGATGGCTGTAATGATTTTTAGTTTTGATTAAGGGTTAGGAGCAGTGGTGATGGTGATAACTTTGGATCATTATCTAGCACCTAGAAAGTGAAAGTGTTAGTCGCTCAGTCACATCCGACTCTTTGTGACCCCATGGACTGTAGCCCACCAGGCTCCTCTGTCCATGGGGTTTCCTAGGCAAGAATACTGGAGTGGGTTGCCATTTCCTTTTCCAGGGGATTTTTCCTGACGTGGGGATCGAACATGGGTCTCCTGCACTGCAGGCAGATTCTTCACTAGGCAGATTCTTTGCCATTTTAGGCACCAGCAAAGCCCAGAGGGGGAGCATAATTTCACAAGGGTGGTAGGAAGGTCACCTGAGGGACTGGGTACCTGGGGGCTAGTAGGAGGGCTCTGGTAAGATTTGAGTTTTCTCTGTAACTTTGCCTGGCTCCCTGGTGACAGCTGGTGCTGCCTGCAAACTCGGTCTCCATGGCTTGAGACCAGGTTTTTCATCACTTGTCAGGTAAGTTTTTTCCGTATGACCTTGGCAGTTTAGCCTGGCATTTTGCCACCTAATCCTAGAGGAGGAGGAAAAGGAAGAGGCAGCGGCTATACTTAGGTCCGATCCCTCTTTGTTTGTGATTTCTCCCCTTTGACACCTCCCTGACCCCTCTACACTGACTATGGTCTTGGGGTAGGAATGAGCTCCCTTACCTTGAGCATCCATCCTTCTGGAATGTCCACAGTCTCATAGTCATCAGCATTTTTTATTAGCTTAAATATTTTTCCTTGATAATTAGCAGTTCCCTTTCCACAGAACTTCATTTTGTATATTTGGCCAACAGCAATGCAAACCTCTGTCATGTGTATAGGGCTCCATTCTGCTTGTGCCAGACATGCCACACAATACAGTGTGTGTCAGAACTCTCAGTGCCCTGCTTTCCTGCTGCTCAGACAGAGTTACTGGTTTACTCTCTGGTTTACTGTTGAGGAGCCATTTGTCATCCTTAAAGGCCTTCTAGCTCCTTATTTTCACAAACATTTTGGTTTTAATTTTTTTGTTTGTTTTTACTTATTTTTAAAACTGAAATTTATGATGTTATTGCTAGAACCTAACATCATTAAATTTTAAAAGCAAAACAAAAAAGTTATTATTCTACTGTCTTATCAAAACTGTTTCATCTTGGTCTATTCCTTTCTGTCTGTACATCTGTGTGTAACTTCTACAAAATCTCTATCATACTACACATGCAATTTAGAATTTTTGTTTTTGACATAAGTAATACATCATTCTTCCCAGGTGATTTTCCAGATGCCTCAGTGGTAAAGAACCCACCTGCCAATGCAGGAGATGTGGGTTCGATCCCTGGGTTGGGGAAATCCCCTGGAGGAGGATATGGCAACCCACTCCAGTATTCTTGCCTGGGAATTCCCATAGACAGAGGAGCCTGGCAGTCCATGGATTGCAAAAGAATCGGATACAACTGAACAACGCAACACCACCACCACCACCACCATCATTCAGAATTTTACAAACCCTAGGGAGAGTATGGATGACACAGATGGTGTCACATCAGGGGTTCTGTGAATGGACTGAGGTTTCACAAACCAGGAAGGAGGTTGGAGGGCCAGAGAAAAAGCTGACTCAGAGGTCAGAAAGGCAGAGCCAACCAACAGGGTGAAGATTTGGCCACATTTTGTGAGCAAAGTGGAGCAAAGGATAGGATTGCCCCATCTCGTCACTGTCCATCATTTCCTCTGTCAGAGAAGTTTCTATTTAAACAAAACCAACTGTTAGCTCCACCCCATTTGTCTAAGATGTTCTCTGTCATCATAGAGCTCTGAATATTAGTATTTATTTTATCTTAAGGATTTTTAAAGAACTTGCCTTTAACTTGTTTTTGATCACCTCTTTTAATAATGCCTAGATCTATCCTGGGCTTATGAAACCTCTAAGGTAGCTATAGTTGTTGACATAAGTGACATCACTGCAAGAACCTGTTTTATATAGTTAATGCTTTGTTACTTATTAGTATCTGTGAGAAATATTCAAAATGGGGGTGGATCACCTGGACTGTATTTTGGATTTATTAGCAGTATGTTTTATTTCTTTGCCAAAGGCCTACACTAATAGAATTTATTCTACTGCCTTTTTATTTTGTAATAGAAATAGCTTTAAAGAATTACAGAGTGATATTGTAAGATAATTGTAAAGTGATAAGGAAAAAAAATTTGATTATGGGAAATTTCAAATATATATAGAAGTAGAGGGAACAGTGTAGTGAGTCCCCATTTACTTACCACGCAGCTGTAGCAGTTGTCAACATTTTGCCAGACTTTTTTTTTTAAATAAAGAAGCAGTATTGAATTTTAGAAAACCAACATTCTGTCCTATCCTGTGAAATACATGAAGAGTATTTTATTTATTAACATAAATTGGGCTAATATTATATATACTGTTTTCTAACCTGTTGGAACTCAAAATCTTGTCTGTCAATACACATAGATAGAAATTGACCTTGTTTCTTTTAACATCTGTATGCTATAACATTGTATGAATATACCATAAATTATTTAGCTAGTCACTACTGATGTGTATACAGTTAGATTATTTCCAATTTTTCACTGTTATAAGTAATGCTGCAGTATTTTTCCTCTTTGTATTCTTGTCTGATGACTTTATTGCAATAGCTGTCATACAATACAGTTATTAGGTCAAAGGTTTAAACACATTAAAAATTTTGATACATAGTCCCAGATCACCCTTTAGAAATATTGTACCAGTAATGTACATTTCAAACAGCAGAGTGTGTTGGTGCCCATTCTTCAATATCATCACCAGACCAGCAAGCCCTCTTCTTTGGGTATTTGGGTATTCTTTGGTATATTCTCTGGGTATGCTTACTGAAACATATTCAGTAAGAATGGCAAAATAGCATTTCTTGTTCCCCCTATGAAATTTTTATCTGAAAAATTATTGTATATAACAACGAGCTTTTTTAGAAACTATACTTGACATTATCTTGGAAGATTATTACTTTAAATGTAATTTTCACTTTCAAGGGCTAATAACATTCTTTACCAAGTCATGCTGACAACCAGTATAACCAGCAGAATATTTTTGTAATGAGTAATTTTTAAAATCCAAGATAATTACTCTTATTTTTATCCAGCATTATCTCTAGATTCATATTATTACTTCTAGCTTTGTTTCTTTGCTTGTCCTTACCTGATCATACTAATAACATAAAACTTTAGAGGACAGAATGGCCCTGTAGATGCTAAGCTTCAAGTATCATCTTCAAATTATGACTTTTGGATTTTGATCCTGCTCTGGCTTTTCCAAATGATAAGATTTTTATGAAAACAAAATCAACCCTTGAAATATAGAAAAGGAAATTTAAGAGTTTATGTAAAGGATCATATAAAAACTTGTGGGCCAAAGTCTTCTTCCTGTGTGGTGATATGTTTCTGTATTGTGTAAGATCTGAGGATGAGAGTGTGTTCCTCAATTTAGCAGCCTCCTTTCATGGTGGTTAGGAATAGCGTAATTACATTTATTTTATAGATTATGAAACTGTGCTCCAGCTTCCTGCAGCTTATCCATACTTAGCCTGTGAGAGGCATAGAACCATAGTCTCATCTTTTAATACTATTTGAATTATAGCATTATATAAAAGATAAGTATTACTGATACCATATTGCCTTTTAAGAGGGAGGCTATGCTTTTGAGTAATTTTAAGACTTTGAAATTGAAGGGGGTACCAAACAGAAGCAGGGATCAAGTGGCTTGGGTCAGTGAACAGTGGGGTCTAATAAGGCTAAGTAGAAGGTCAAGTTGAGGCTGTTTGTGAGAAGAGGGTTTAACCATTAACTCTTGGGGCTTTTTTTTTTTTTGGTTCTTTCTTGCAGGAAGCAGTTGGCTATCTTGGCTGATCTAGTGAAAGATTTACCTCTGGAGTTTGACTTCCTCTTTTCTCAGTCTCAGGCAGAAGTGATCTCTGGAAAGCAAGAAGGTACTGGGCCTTGAGCAGTAAAAGCTTGCACTTGGGGTTTGTAGTTTTGGGGTGGAGTTGCATGCCTGGTCTCATTTTGCCCAAATGTGCCCTCTATGGTGAATTATATTTCCATTTCTTGAAAAACAGAAAACTGTTTGTCTTCTAGTTGCAGTTCACATTGAGGATAAGATTCACCTTTTTCAATCTCAGTTTTATATTTTTCAGTCCTAAAATTCCCATTAGGTTTTACTCCATTTTTTTTTTGCTGAGACTCTTTGTATTCATTGGAAGACTGCTCTCATATCCTGGCTGTATCGCCGCCTTGGAGCTTCCCTGTGGCTCAGACAATAGAGTCCACCCGCAGAGCCGGAAACCCAGGTTCAATCCCTGGGTCGGGAAGATCCCCTGGAGAAGGAAATGCCAACCCGCTCTAGTATTCTTGCCTGGAGAATCCCATGGACAGAGAGGAACCTGGTAGGCTACAGTCCAAAGGGTCACAAAAAGTCAGACACAATGGAGTGACTGAACACTTTCTGTAGCTGCCTTATTTGATAATTCTGACACTGGTGTCGTCTCAGGGTTGGCATTTGTTCCCTTATGGGCTGAGATTTTCCTAGTTCTTTGTCTTTCAAGTCATTTTATATTGTGTCCTAGATATTTTGAATATTACATTGTTAGACCCTGGGTCTTGTTTCAGTCATAAAGGGAATGTTAACTTTTTTGTCTTAGCAGACTGGTTAGGTTCAGGCCTTAAGTTCTGACCTGCCTTCTGTGGATGGTGATTCTTTTGATTCTGGCACTGAGATTAGGTTTTGTCCTGTGTGTATGCCAGCCAATGACCAATCTGAACGTGGGCACAACCCATACAAATGGATTGACTAGCGAGTAGGTCAGTTCTCAGAACTTTTGATATGTTGTTTAGAGTCAGATCACACATGTAAGCCCAGGAGTTCCTACACCACCTCATTCCCAACTCTCCACTATCTCCCCGAGACTTTCTGGTTCCCGGCAGCTCACTTTCATGGTCCTTTGGTAGAAAGTCAGGGGTTTAATTTGCCCAGTGTGCCATGCATTTCCCATGACTGCATCTGTATCCAGGGCTAAGTGGTAGAGGACAGAGGGAGTAAAGTGAGCAATAGGACTTTGCCCCAACTCTTCAGGCCATAGCTCCTCTGGTCAGAAAGGATTCATACCCCTCAGAGAGATAGGCATCTACCAGTCTCTCCCTGTGCTGATGCAGGATTACCTGGAGTAGCAGAGAACCAAATTTTTTAGAAAGCAGGGAACTCCCCCCCTCCCTTCTGAACCTTTGGAGTCCCCCTTTCTGATCCTTGGACCACAAAACAGGGCCTTCTAGTTCTTTCTGTGCATATCTGGTTTTGTATTTTAAGCTGGTTTTCAGTCCAGGCCAGACTGTCTGAGGGGGAAAAATGGGAATCTTGCTGCAATTTTGGTGGTACTTTAAAGTCTGATGTCTGCCCCAGCGTGCCTTCTGTCACTTATTTTCAGAGTCCTCAGACAGCTGCTCTGTACATTCTATCCAGAGTTTATACTTTATTCAGTGGGGAGACAGGGCAGGTGTGCTTAATTAATTCTGTCTTGCCCAGAGCTTTATTTATTTTTACACACTAATTCCTATTCATTGTAGGAAGTTTAGAAAATGCAAATAATTTTAAAAAGGAAAAACATCACCAGATAAAAAAGTTCAAATTCATACACTGAGAGTGTGGAATAAAATACCATGATCACTTTTTTTCCAGGAAAAGGGGGGAAGAGCAGCTGTGGAGAGGTGTACACATGCTATCACAGTAGAAAATTAAGCAGGGGCTTTTATGTTTCTTACTTAGGGGTTTATGCATGGATTGGAATCAACTTTGTTTTGGGAAGATTCGACCATGAAGATGGTGAGTGATATTGTCTTCTTAAGACAGCTCTAAGGGCTCAAGATTTGTGTCATAACCAATCACTAGCATGTAAGTGCTAATTTTGATTTGTTTTTTTCCTTCTTTTTTCAAAACTTAACATGCTTCTTTTATTGCTTTTTAACTTTCCTCATTTATTTCAGTCCTAATTTGCTTTCCTTTACTGCTTTTTAACTTACCTCATTTATTTCAGAAGCTGATGCTGAAGCTCCCCAGGAATTGGTGACAGGACGCAGAAGGACAGTAGGGATACTGGATATGGGAGGAGCCTCTCTCCAAATTGCTTATGAAGTTCCTACCTCAACTTCTGTCCTTTCTCCACAAGAGGTATTTTACCTTTTGGGGAAATTCAGTTGCTAGGAATGCCCATCTTTGAGAAGGAAGGGCACTATGTTCTGACTTAGACCAACTCTCCTGGGTCCATTGCTTCAGATCATTGCTAGCTTATGTTATCTTGGGTCAGTTACCTCTCTGAGCCTCAGTTTCCTCATGTGTAAAAAGAGAATAATAATAGTATCTATTTCATAAAGTTGTGAGTATGAAATAATACCACTTGTATAAAGTACTTAACAAGCTGCCCAACGTGTAATAAAAGCTTAATACATTTTAGCTATTATACTACTTATCTGGAAGAGTTGCCTGAGGATTAAATGTGATAATGTAAATCCCAGAGTACAGTATTTGATAAATACTTATTCATTAGATGTTATTTACCAAATGATTCCATTCTTGTGCTTCTGTTATTCCTTGCCTTACTAGAATGTAAATAATGCATTTTGAGGGAGAAGTTTTATCATACAGAAGAAAAAGATATAAAACATTTTTCAGCACCTAATATGTGCAAGACATAAGACATGTTACACTCCCCCAAATGCTTGTGATCTATCAGTGGAGACCGCCTGTGATAACAGGCAGACCACGACAGTTCTGTAATTTGATCTAAACTAGGGTTTCTCATCATTGGCACAATTGGCATTTTGGACTGAATAAGTCTTTGTTCTGGAAGGTTGTCTGGTGCCTTGTATGATGTTTCACAGCATCCCTGGCCTCTATCAGATGTCATAATGCCCCTGTATCTCCCAAACTCCCAGTTTTGACAATTAAAAGTGTCTTCAGACACTGCCAGTTGCCCCTGGGGGTGCAAAATCACCTCTGGTTGAGTATCGTGGGTCTAAACAGAGAGCCACAGCAGTGTGGGCACTGACAGGGTGAACCACATTCACAAAGGCTTGAATAGGCGCCTTCCATGCTGCCTTCATGGAAAGTAAGGTATTTACCTGGTCCTTGGATGATAGTAGCCTTTTGCATAGTGGAGGTTAAGGGAAGGCCATCTGTATGGAGGTGACAGTATGCACAAAAGCACAGAAAAAACAGCAAAGAGCCCAGAATGTCCAGGGAATGATGAATAGCCTGTTGTAGTTTGGGGTTTTTAAGTGTGGTAATAGGGATTGCTGGGAAGTGATAAGATAAAGAAAGTTAGATCATGAAGAGTCTTGGGAGCCATGCTAGGGGATTTGGCTTTTTTATCTGTAGATAGTAAGGAACGAGCAAACTTTTGAGTAGGGCAGTCATATGGACTTAAGTTTCATCATCTATGAAATAATTAAACTCTGAAAGTCATCAGCTCTGAATTTTGTGACTATGTTAATTGTATGACAAGGTTAGGGTCATTTTATGTCTTTGTTTAAAATAGCGTTATGAAGATGAAAGAATGCTATTATAAGACAAAATGTCTTAAAGAGTAGTCATAGCTAGTGAAACCTGGTGTATTAGCAATGTCATACCTTTCTAGAAATCAACCAAAACTAAAATTTCTTTTACATCATATTGCAGGAAGAAGCTGCGAAGATCTTGCTGGCTGAGTTCAACCTGGGCTGTGATGTGCAACACACAGAACACGTGTATAGGGTTTACGTCACAACCTTTCTGGGTTTTGGGGGCAACTTTGCCCGGCAGCGCTATGAAGATCTTGTATTGAATGAAACTCTTAACAATAACAGGTACGCTTGACATGGGATCTGTGATTCTGAAATAGAATGTTGTCAGGCTGCAGATATTTGGCAGAGATGGTTGCATCCTACCAAGGTAGTAATAGGTATGTCCTTGCCTCCTCCTTCCTTGCCACCCCTGCCAGTGGGATAGCTTGGTGTTGTCATTCAGTTGCTCAGTTGTGCCCAACTCTTTGTGACCCTGTGGACTGCAGCACGCCAGGCTTCCCTGTCCATCACTGTCTCTCGAAGCATGTCTATTAGTCGTCCCACTTGATGTTCATCGGAGTGCCTTCTAATTTTTGTTATTAGGACTTAGAAAAGCACAGTGGCTTATTGCAGTGACCTCTTGCTGTGTCCATCTTCAGACATGGCATCACAGGATAAGTGAGATCAATTAAGTCATTAATTTAAATTGTGTAATATAACATAGCTTCTGGAAGTTTCTTCCACATGGAAGTGCTCAGAACCTGTTTGCCAAATTACAGTGGAGTTGCATTTTACATGGGACTTATATATTCCTTAGCGTGCATAAAATATTCTCTCTTTAAGTCCAGAGTAGACACTTTTTCCTCCAGCACTGGACGGATCACTGATTCTTCATTTGTGTGCCAGATGAAGTATTTAAACCATAGTATACATATAGTTGTGGGTTTTTAATATTTAAAATTCTTTGTATCATCATGCACATTAAAAGACAGCATAATAGAGAAGAGAGTTCTTTTCCACCATGAAACTATTCACCCCCATTTGTTTAGCTGGAAACAATAGCTTGAAAAGGTACTGGTGTATCCCACTTGGAATAATTTCTCTACAGCAATCATCTTATATGGGGAGCGTGTTAGACAAAATGTTGTCTCAAGTCTTTTTTGTTTTTCTGAGTCTCAGCTCCTGAGAATTCAGGGTGCTTTGGGAGAAGTCTGTTATTCGGATGATTGATGAATGCATTAAAATCAAGCAGTGTGTTTGTGTTCTGAAGATACTCTTATGTATCCAGGCCTCCATACAAATGTTGCTTGGCCTAGAGCTCAGATGGCTCCCGTTAGCACTGTGGTATCTGAAGAACAATTACTATGAAACTTTCACACCAATTTTGTTTTGGTCCTTCTCCACTAGCTACTATGCTTCCTTTTCCATTTTCTTCCTTTGTTGTTTTGCTCCTCCTTTATGTCTGCCTGCTGTTTTCTGCTGCTTTAGAACAGGCTTGCATCATCTTCTCACACGTAAGTTTTTTCTCATTATGGATCTAAGTTACCTAATTCAGAAAACTGATTACTCATCTTGTGAAGCTGCTAATCTGTAGAGAAACCTGTGCTTCCTGCAATGTTAAAACGTAATGTTTCTCTCTTTTTGATAATTTTCTGAGCTTTCCTTATAGGTGGTGTCACATCCTCAAAAGAGGCTCCACTTGTTCCAAAGCATTTTGTTGTGTTGCCACGTTCCCATTCCGTCCTTCAGCCTTTACACTTGTGTGTACATCTTCATCCACAGTTGTTTTAGGAATTGATGAATAGCTCATTGTATTTGGCAAACTACAGTTGTATTTGGTCTTAATTGGCACTTAATTTCCACCTTTGGCCAGGTCTGCATATTAATCTCTTATTGCTAGACAAGTACAGACTTGAAATAACCAGAGCTGTGTGATGGCCGTGGTGGGAATCAAAACTTGGCCCTCCTTCCCCCTCAGAGCTGGGCATGTCCTCAGTCACTGTTGCCATCCATTGCCACTGCACCACTGCCATGGACTGTCCTCAGCCCTTCCCACTTCACCTCCTCCCAGTTGTCTCTCGAAACATTAGAACTGTGATCAGCATGGTGAAATCTTTTCACTTTTAAGAGGCACGTGGTAATGAAGACCAGATGGAGAATAGCAGATTCACATCTCCAGTTTCACTATATATTGGGAAATACATGTGATGACTAAAAGACTGAACAAAATCACTGCCATATTTCTTTCTTTTTCTAAATTGAATTTGCATAATTTAAAAGTTCATGTGCTGCAACTAAGTGGTAATGTGCATCCTTGTGTTTAGGGCTGTCATGTAGAAGAATAACAAGACGTCTGGGAAGCATCTTTGAGAAAACTGGATGCAGTAGTGATGTGATTTGTTTGTTTTTGTCATTGTGACAGGTTGCTGGGCCACAAGACAGGTCTGAGTCCTGACAATCCTTTTCTGGATCCCTGCCTGCCTGTGGGACTCACAGATGTGGTGGAAAGGAACAGTCAGGTCCTGCATGTCCGAGGACGAGGGGACTGGGCAGCTTGTGGGGCCATGCTGAGCCCCCTGCTGGCTCGCTCCAACACCAGCCAGGCCTCACTGAATGGCATCTACCAGTCGCCCATTGACTTCAACAACAGCGAGTTCTATGGTTTCTCCGAGTTCTTTTACTGTACAGAGGATGTGTTGCGCATTGGTGGCCGCTACCATGGGCCAACATTTGCCAAGGCTGCTCAGGTACATTATTAATCATAAAAATGACTCATGCTGGCAGCAGCCATTTATTGGATGCCTAACTTTGTACCAGACACTGTGCAAACGGCTTTGCATGTGTGATCTCACTGGCTTCTTGGCAGGAGCCCTGGGAGCCGTCATTTTACAGACGAGGGAGGAGGTAAACTTAGAGAAGTAACCTCTTATGCTCTACTGCCTGCTAATTAATTAACTTAGGTCTCCACGGGTGTCCAGTTACCAAAATTATCACCCAGAGCTAATATTGTCGTGGTGGCTAATGGTTTTTCCTCCAGCTTGCCAATAGTCTTGGCTAATGTTTGTGGACAAAGTGTCATCTCCAGATATTTTCCCCTTACTGGATGTTCCCAGGTGTAAATGCTTTTGGAGATGATGTCACACAGGTGGGCAAGTCCACTTTCATTTTCTTACCTTGAGCTTTTAAGAGGCCAGTAGGGACAGGTAAAAGTTTAGCTAGCATTCCACAGTTCCTGTTCAATTTGGACTCGTCTCTTTTTCATTTTTGTATATTTTTCTCTTTTAGCAGAAAAACTTATGGGGAGATCTGTCCGTTCATATTTTTTATTCTCTCCGTCTTCTTCAATTTCTCTTAGTATAAGAGCTTTCAGAAGAAATAATATATGTAGTATATGTACTGTTCTGTTCCCTAAAGGCAGTCCCTAAGAAATTTTGAGGAAAGCCTGGTTTGTATTTCCCTTTCCTCTCCATCCTCCAGGAATACTGTCATATTTCCTTTCCTTTCCAATGTTCCCTGACTGTCCATGGCCTGAATCTTTCTCTCGTTTTAAAATTTCTTCAAATCCTGTTCCCTTGATCTCCATAGGACTCAAGTTATTACTTGCCCAAACTGCTAGTGCCTTAATATATTCTCTTTCTCAGGGAAAAGATGATTTTGTTCTTTTTTTTAACCTTTACTCAACCATTCTCCTCCCTGTGACATCTTCCTTGGCCATCCTATGCAGAGTTGCAGCCCTCCCCAGTATTACCCTTTTCCCTTTCCTGCTTTATTATCTTTCCCATGAGCACTTATGTTATCTAACACACTCTTTGAATGTATGTGTGTATATGTATGTATGTATGTATGCATGTATATTTGGTTATTGTCTGCCCCCCCCCACCACTGGAAGGTAAGCTTCATAAAAATAGAAATTTTTGTTTTTTTCACTGCTAGAGCCACCTGGCACAAAGTAGACATTCAGGAAATACTAGTTTATTGAACAAACCAAAAGGAATGATTCCTTTGGTGAGAATTACAACAAGGAGACAGGCCAATGATAGATTTTTGACCATTCTGTTCCATCTGTTTGATTTGTTCATGTCAGTCCTACATAGGGTAGAATGAAGCTGTCTTTGGCTTTTGATGTTGCTACTCCCAGTCCTGACCTTACCCATCTCTAAAGCCTAAGAGGCTCAGGAGCCATGTCAGGCTGGCTTTGTATGGACATGGAGGCAATAGGAATGAAAAGGAGTATTCCTAGGCCCCTCAAGTCACCTAGTGGCCTGAGTTCAAGGACTTGCCTTGCCCAGGACCTGGCACAGTGTTAAATGACTGAATATACCATTTCTGTTTTCCTGTCAACTAATAACCCACAAGTAACTTTAGAAATGGAAAACTGACTGTAGGGGAATTACAGAGTTTACCTCCCATTTCATGTTGCATCATTTCTCTGTGTTTGTTCCAGGATTACTGTGGCATGGCTTGGTCAGTACTCACTCAGAGATTCAAGAATGGCCTCTTTTCATCACATGCAGATGAGCATCGACTCAAGTAAGTAACTTCCTTTTCTCCTTTAGGTGTGGCCTTAAAGTGTATGAACAATGAATGAGAGTGAGTGAGTGAGTGATAGTACAGATTGGATTTACATTGAAAGAGAATTTGGTTATTTTAGATTTTATTTTCTGAAGGGTAGAGGCCAAAATAGTGAACTTACTTTAGTGAAGTCAAGGGAAACAAACTGGTGGTTACCAAAAAGTATTCTCTCCAAGTGGTTTGAAATCAAAAGTGGTGGTCTTTTTATTTTTACATTTTTATTAAAATGTCAAATATGCAGAAAAGTAGAACAGTAACAGAAACACGTAGTAACTGTCACCTAGCTTCAATAAATATCAATATTTTGCCAGTTTGACCCATCAGTCCTCCCATTTTGTAAACGTTTTAGTTAAAAATTTTAAACATAAATGAAAATAGAACAGTATAATGAACTCCTGAGTACCTGTCACCCAGCTTCTCTCCTATCAGCTGTCAACTCCCAGTCCTTATTTCATCTATTTTCCTACCCCACAAATTGGTTCTTTTGAAGCAAATCCCAAATGTCATATAATTACATTTGTAGATATTTCAGCATGCTCTCTGAAGGTAAGGGTTGTTAGGGGAAAAAAGAAAGCAAAAGAAAAACAGTCACAGTAGCATTGTTGCATTGCTTGAAGGTGTGCCTCACTTTTGCGGTCAACTTGAAGATAAGGTAGGCTCAGATTTGGCTTCATCTAGAGGTGAGGAAGGTGAAATGGGGAGAGAGGGGTCTTTTTGACACTTAAGTGAGAATATGCATAAAGCATTAGTTTTTTGCTTTTTCTTTTTATTCCTTTACAAAATTAATTATTTTTTTCACACAGATATCAGTGTTTTAAGTCAGCTTGGATGTACCAAGTTCTTCATGAAGGATTCCACTTTCCCTATGACTATCCAAATCTGCAGACAGCACAGCTGGTCTATGACCGAGAGGTTCAGTGGACGCTGGGAGCCATTCTGTATAAAACACGCTTCTTACCACTCAGGTAAGTGGACTGACCAAGCATCTTGAGCTTAGAGGATGGTAGTTGGTGCCTCAAAATAGGTTTCTTAAGTGACCGCTCCCTCAAAAAGAGAAACAAAAAACATCCAAATTCCCCTTATTGCTGCCATGTGAAACTGTTACTTACCACATATGTTGAAACAGAAGGAAGTCTTGAGAATTATTGGTCTGGAGTGTGTTCTTCTTTGTAATGTCGGGAATTCAGTAATTTTTTACTTTTTCCCCTGCCGTGCTGCATGACTTGTGGGATCTTAGTAACCAGGGATCCAGCCCATGCCCTGCCCTCGGCAGTGAAAGCGCCAAGTCCTAACCATTGGACTGCCAGGGAATTCCCAGGAATTCAATTTTATTTATCTACAACAAATCAGTCTTTATAATTGAGCTCTTACAAACAACTTCTAAGATACTGACTGATGAACTCAAGTTACTCTGAAACTATATCTGCCTCGCTGTTCATTCAGTTGTGTCTGACTATTTGTGACCTCATGGACTGCAGTACGCCAGACTTCTCTGTCTTTCACCATCTCCCAGAACTTGCTGAAACTCATGTCCATTTAGTCGGTGATGGCCATCCAACCGCCTTGTCCTCTGTCATCCTCTTCTCCTCCTGCCTTCTCTTATTTCCCAGCATCAGGGTCTTTTCCAGTGAGTTGGCTCTTCGCATCAGGTGGCCAAAGTACTGGAGCTTCAGTATCAGTCCTTCCAATGAATATTCAGGACTGATTTCCTTTAGGGTTGACTGGTTTCATCTCCTCACTCTGACTACAGAACCAGTATATGCTCTTCCTATACAGCAGTCTTTCTTGGCGGCTAGAGTCACTCTCGAGATCATGTCATTGACTTGGATGGCTTTTGGGTGGGCCAGAACAAAGGACATGAGATGTATTTCAGGGATGTCTTGCTCTTATGTACCATAAGATATTTGGGATCATTTTTAGGTGCTTTCTCTTCTGGACTATTTTAGATGAACTCTTAATCTTTGGTGCCTGTTTCTTTAAACTCAATACTGTCACAAGCCAGGTGAGTGAGAGAAGTGGGGAACTGGAGAGCATGTGCCCCAAACAAAAGGCTGATAACTGTCGTGCAGAAGTGCTGTCCCAGCATCTCCCAGCTCTCCTTGGTCAAGAGAAGCCAGAAGTCCACATTTTATATGTGGTCTTTCTGTTTGGAGATTCACATTTTTTTTTTTTTTTTGAGATTCACATTTTTTAAAAAAACACTGCAGGTCAAACAGAATGAAAATGTATTGGGTATTTGGACTACAAGAGAAGAGCTTCTCTTTTAGATAGATGGACCATTGCATTTAGGTTTACATATCTCTCTTTTTTCTTCAGATTATAATTGGTTAAGTGACATCTTTGTCTGGATATATCCTAAACTCTCAGGAAGCATAGCAACTTTTTTTTTTAATACTTAGATATATTCTGATTTCTTGATTAGGTTCAGGGGCCACCCTATTCTCATTAGTACCATATTTACAAACTGTGTAGGCTGAGGTGGTATGGGGTCACTGTTGACATTTTACAGATGACAGTCTTGTTTGACATTTTACAGATGACAGTCTTGTTTTACTATTCACTTTTTTGGCTTCTCATTTTGTCTCCAGATTTTAGAAGGGGTAGAGGCTCCCTCTTGGAGAAGGAAATGGCAACCCACTCCAGTATTCTTGCCTGGAGAATCCCGTGGATGGAGGAGCCTGGTGGGCTACAGTCCACGGGGTTGCAAAGAGTCGGACACGACTGAGCTACTTAACTTTCACTTTCAGAGGCTCCCTCTAGGCCAGGGAAAGGAAGATACAGGAGGAATCTGGGCCTGGGGACATGTTTCAGCTTTGCTTGCTCTGTGGAGCTGGTGGTGTAGCATGTTTGCATGGATGGAATAAATGGGATAAAACCACTGGACTTTTTAAATATTTCTCTCTGAAACTAACAATTCTTTCCACCTTCAACTTCTTATTTAGGGATCTACGGCAGGAGGGTGTCCGACAGGCCCATGGTAGCTGGTTCCGTCTCTCCTTCGTCTACAACCACTATCTCTTCTTTGCCTGTATCCTGGTGGTGCTACTGGCCATCATCCTGTACCTTCTGCGGCTACGTCGGATTCACCACCGACAAACTCGAGCCTCAGCCCCATTGAACTTGCTATGGATCGAGGAGGTGGCACCCATCATTGGGGTACAGGTCGGGCCATGAGGATGGGCAGGTTAACGGGAAGCTCAAATACCCCAGAATTGCTGCCCATTGAATTCTACCACTTTCTGGTACTGGCCTCAGATGCTGCTTTACCTGACTTTGTGGATATTTGGCCTTGGAATTTCTCCTTCAGTATCTACTTTAATTCCTTCTCAATATCCAGGTCCTCTTCTCTGAAGAGAAGCTGTAATTTAGTCTATGAAGAACTAAATGAGAGATTGGTGCTAACAGAGGGGACCAACTTTAGTCCAATTGAAGCCTGCTTCTACTTCTTTATCTGAGAGATCTGGTATGCTCCTGGGATCGAGACTTTTCTCCCCTTGCTTTAAGCATGAAGTTCAGCATTGGGCACGCTGGAAGCCTAAGCTGAAACCAAACTTGGAGCATCTGATTCAAAGCCGAAGACATTCTACCAAGTGCAGCAGCCCCTTCTTTCTCTGTAACAGAGATATCATTTATGTGGAGATCCACAGCCTTTAATAGGGATCCAAGATTTTTGCAGATCAGTGGAACAGATAAGAATTTCCAGGCAACCAAAATAACACAACTTCTTTGCTTACTCGACAAAGAAGCCACTGTGAATGTGGCTGAAGATCCCTGACATCCTGTAGCTGATATTAGTTAGATTTTAAAAGGTTAGAACCCTTTCTAAATGAATGGTCCAGTGAAGATTTTAACAATATATTTTCTGATGCCTCATATGACCAGAATAGACAATTTTTCCATGTCTCTGTGGCTCCGAGGCTGTTTGGGCATTAATTTTTCTTTTTGAGCCTTAAGGGTGCTTATAGGGATGGAGAAACTGGGATGGGGATTGGAGACTTGGATTTGTCTGGTTTCAGGTCACTGTCCTCTTGGCTTGTTTTTATAAGTCCTTATGTGGGAAGATTCAAGAAGAGTTCTTTTATTTTACTGCTAAAATCAATATGTAGTTTGGGAAGGGATACATTTGGGTTGTTTTTAAAGAAGGAAAGAACAATATCAGGAGAGTGGGCCAAGGCAATAAAATCCAAGCTCTTATTTATTAATGTTTTTCTGAGAAATAGAAGTTTTCTCAGTTGGGCTCTTGGACTATTTGAAAAGAAGCAAATCACAAACTTTGGAATAGACAGATAAATCTGTTAATAATCCACCTGGTAACTTCCAGAATATTTCCTAAGAGATTTCTCATTCATAAACAGCATTTCCATTAATGGGGAGAGAGGAAAAGCCATAGTAATTACACTTTTATCCACTACCCTTCAGGATCTTTGCTTCCTCTCTGCATTTAGCCTTTAAATTGCACAAGGATTTCTTTTTCATCCCCCATGGAACCTTCTTTATACTTTAATCTTTCCTCTGTGTAGCCTTAAATGTCCTGCTTAAGAATATACTCCCAGAGTTAAAATAGTTTTCTTATTTTGTCAGCTTTGAGTTCTAGGATTACAGGAGTAAGGGAAAAATCCTTGACTTTAATGGAAAAAAAGTGAAATTCTTAAAAAATAAATTTCATACTGAGAGTAGAAAGGAGTTAAGTGCTTCATAAAACCAAGAAAAATAAATCCAGATCCTCCTGGAAATAAACTGAGATGAAAGTAAGTATACTTAAAGTAAGTGAAAAGATGATGAGTCTTGAATCATTTTCAAGTTAGATAAAGATGGATCCAGCAGAGTCTGACAGGCTCTTTTGGAAGAACTTTTAACTTTTCATTAGGGCTTATGTCTCAGCAGTTTAATTTTTAAGATTTCTAAATTGCCTTGATTTTCTTTGACTTCTTATCTTTGTGTCTGTACTGTGAGCCAGCCCTTGCCTTATGAATGCTGCTTATAAATAACATCATAGTATGTTTTTGCTAGCCATTGCCTACTCAGGTAACTCTTTTCCCTCCCCTTCATTTCCAAATACTGTTTTTGGTTTTCTTATTTTCTTGTGTGATCTACTCAATGATCTTCTCCAAAGCTACCTAGCTGGCTAACAGTGATCACATTTGTGTGCTCAGAATGAAATTGAAGCATGGAGGAGATAGTGATCAGTCCAATTTGAAAGCTCTCATTAAGTTATTCTTCATCCTGGTTATGATGATAGTAACTACCATTTGCAAAGCACTGATTGTGTACCAGATACTCCGTTAATAATTTTATGTATGTTATTTTAATCATCATGACAACCTTTCAGATTGGTATTGTTCTTTTTATAATTGAGAAACTCAGGATACTTGTTTATCATTTTTTCCACATAAACGTATTTCTTATTCTTTATTTTAATTAGTCCGATTTTTTGTGTATTTTATCATGTTTATTATTTTAATATTATCTAGGCTTTATTACAATGAATAAGGCATCTGAGTTCCATGGTATAAAAATAAGGACAAATTTTTGTCATACCCCTCAGAAAAACGGAGTATTTGCTCTTGGTTCTGGCTCCTGTGCTTCTTCCATTGCTCCCAATTAAAAATTTTAAAGGAAATCTCATTCACTAGAAACAGAAGCCATTTATCCCTTGCTGAGGATAAATGGTCAGGGCCAATTACTTCTATATATTGCTTTCTCAAAATGAAATATTCTTGCATATAGAATCACACAAGCCTTATCTTTTAACCTTCTTTTTGCCCTCATTTTTTCAAGATATCTATTTGCATTTCTGCATTCTGAGTAGTTTTCATGTGAAAATGATTATGATTTCATAAAATTCACATTCCACTAGTTTCTTTGAATCTTGCCAAGCAATCTTCCTTAGAACAGTAACAGCAAGCCTGAACTATTTTAGTGTTTTAATAGGTCATAAGTGTCAAAATTTAGTCAGTGGTTTATAGGAGTAAGGCTTATTATTCTTTATGCAGGCACAACCCATCACTCTTCTGAATTCTTATCATGAATTATTCTTATCACCTAATTATTTGCCATTACATTCACTTAAGTTGCAGTTAATTCTAATCCAAATTTTATTGGGGTTGGTGCAAAAGTAATTGCGGTTTTGCATTTTTGAAATTTGCTGTTTGATATTACAATACATTCTTAAATATGGTTATGTTATACATCATTTTAATGCACATTTTTTGCTTTCTGTTTTTTTGATAATGACTTATTACTTGCTGTTTATTTTAAACTAGGGAAATGATGTTAATTAGACAAAAAAGCAAATTGGAGCAATTCTTTTATTTAAGTTGAAAATGAGTTGTAAAACAGCAGAGACAACTTGCACCATTAACAATGCATTTGGCCCAGGAACTGCTAACGAATGTACAGTGCAGTGATGGTTCAAGAAATTTTGCAAAGGCCAGAGCCTTAAAGATGAGGAGCGCAGTGGCTGACTATTGGAAGTTGAAGCGACCAGTTGAGAGGATCTTTGAAGCTGATCCTCTTACAACTACATGAGAAGTTACTGAAGAACTCAGTGTCAGCCCTTCTATGGTTTGGCATTTGGCCCTGGCAGCAAATTGGAAAGGTGAAAAAACTCAATAAGTGGGTGCCTCATGAGTTGACCACAAATCAAAAATTTCATTTTAAAGCACTGTCTTCTCTTATTCTATGCAAAAACAACAAACCATTTCTCAATTGTACTGTAATGTGCGAGAAAAAGTGGATTTTATATGACAACTGGTGATGACCAGCTAAGTGGTTGGACTGAGAAGAAGCTTCAAAGCACTTCCCAAAGCCAAACTTGCACCAAAAAAAGGTGGTCTGCCGCCAGTCTGATCCACTACAGCGTTCTGAATCCCAGAGAAACCATTTCATCTGAATAGTATGCTCAGCAAATTGGTGAGTTGCATCAAAAACTGCAACACCTGCAGCAGGCATTGCTCAACAGAAAGGGCCCAGTTCTTCTGCATAACAATGCTTGACTGCACATTGCACAATCAACACTTCAGAAGTTGAACGAATTGGGCTACAAAGTTTTGCCTCATCTCACCATATTCACCTGACCTCTCACCAACCACTTCTTCAAGCATCTCAACAACTTTTTGCAGGGAAAATGCTTCCACAACCAGGAGGAGACAGAAAATGCTTTTCAAGAGTTTGTCAAATCCTGAAGCATGGATTTTTATGCTACAGGAATAAATTATTTCTCGTTGGCACAATGTGTTGATTATAATGGTTCCGAGCTCTTTGAGCTTATAATGATTTAAAATTCACGGTCCAAAACCACAATTAAGTTTGCACCAACTTAATACCATCTCTCTATACTTTAGCTCCTTGAATTGATTTTCCTTGGTCTAGGAAATCTTAATCACTTTCCACCAACCTTCTATTTATTCTTCCAATATTATCCAAAGTATTCTGCCTCTGTCCTCCTTAGCCCAAGTGCTTTCTTTGACTTCAAAGGCCTTGTTGTTCAGTCACTAAGTCATGTCTGACTCTCTGCGACCCCACGGACTGTGGCACATCAGGCTCCTCTGTCCTCCACCATCTCCCCAGTTTGCTCAAATTCATGACCAAAGGCTTTAGGCAATGATTATCAAAATGTGGTTGACTGAGTCTGCCATGCAATTGCTAAGCTAGTCATTTTAGGCATTAACATTTATTATCATGTCCATATTTATATTTTTGAGGTACAGTAACATCTCACTGGTTATGGATTATAGCCCTGGCTTTGTCATAATGTAGCTCAGGAACCCCAGGCAAGTCACCTGCCCTCTCTGGTTCGTTTTTCATCTATGACTAGCCAAGATGATTGGAGGCCAGTTCCAAAGGGAGAACAGTTGGCATAAGGAACTAAAGGCAGAGAAGTGATAGAGTAGTTTCAGGAAGAGGGCTGTGGCCCTTGGTTTAGACCAGGCTGCCCAGAAGAACCAGTGGTCAGGTCATCTCTTACTTTACTCATAGCCCATGAAATAAAGGTTGTGGGAATGGAGTTTCCAAAAGCAATCACAATCACAGAATGAGATTTTTTAAAATTGAAACTTAAGATTTGTTAACCCTGGTGATTTTATGGATGATAAAACTGACACTCAGAATGTAGTAATACATGCAAATAAAATGTTCATTGATAGAATCTTCTTGCAAGACTGTGTTTCAACAGAATATATATAATACAGCTGACTGCAGCTAATCATGCTCGATCTTTATAATTGTTTCTGATACTCATTTGTGGTTGCTCACGTTTAGGAATAAAATATTAAATACTTTGTCAGAAATATCAGGTTTTCAGTACATCTATTCTTTAGTTAATATATCCAAGCAACTCATGCTATGATTTTACCATCTAAGTTTTTTAAGGTATAACTGTTCATTAGAGTTACTTTAAGGAACTTGGTTGTATTTATGGGGCAGTTCCTAGACTCCCTTACCCAGTGTGCCATTTCTTTTTGCTGTTTTTAAACTTCTTTCAAACCAATTCAGAACTAGTATCTAATTTTCCTTTTTGCTGTAGTATGCAATGAAACTTCAGTTGGAATTAAGAATTAAGGTAAAAGTAGTAGCAGATATTTCAAATTCCCCCAAACTAGTCTCAGGTTATGCTCATTTCATAGTCCTGCACTAGGGCCATATGGTCAGTCAAACTTGGAAGGATTTGTTGGTATTACAAAAAATATTTGTTAAAAAGACTTAAAAAAAAATCCGCATGGACTTCTTATATTAGTACATTAGTATATATTACTAATGTAATACTAGTATATATATACTAATATATTAGTTTCCTTTCCCCTCTAATGTTTCACTATTTCTCAGTACCATTATTAGAGGGACAGAGGAGGAATACATTTGTTGACTTTCTCTGGAAATCTGAACAATAATATCATTTTATTTGGAAAACTGAACCATTACCCATACTACAAGGGCTTTCTACTTTTAAAATGTATTCAATTGTTGCTTGCCATTTTTATGAAGACCAAAGTTGAAAAAAATTGAGAATCCCAGGATGAGTATAGCCATGCAGGCACGATGACTTCAGGCAAGCTGAGGCCCTCCTTTTTAAGTACTGCAGTCACTCATAGGTCTTCTGGCAGCTGATCACTCCTCTCCACTTCTCCAGGTAAGGCAGCCCTGCGACCCCTCCTACAGAGCACCTGCCAGTTGAGCCTGTTAGAACTGCTGGTGGTGAAGGCTCTGCCCCCTAATTAGCTTCATAAGTCTTTTTCTGCAAGCAAGAATCGCAACCACTGATTTCTGGAATTTGTTGTTGTGTTTGAAATTTTTATTCTACAATCCCCCTTTAGCTGAAGCCTTAAAGTATACACCTTGTCTCCTCCATGATTTCTGCCTTGAGCATGGAATCCTGCAGTGCTGAAAGGCATCTTTTTATTATGACCCTCAATGAAAAACTCCCTTCTAGATTTCAAAAACCAAAGGCTGCCTGCATGGTATTATTTTGGGTGGGTGGGGGGTTGCTAAGTTTGTATGTTTTTCTAACACATCATTAAATGATAGTTTTGCTGAACAGTTATTGAAACTCTGATACTGTTAAGTCAGTGTTGAACAAAATACACAATGCATATTAGAGAGGGGATGCACTGTCCCTTATGCAGGGACATGGGTATATATGTTACATATACCAGTATACAACCACCATCATGCCAGGACCGTAAGAATTGCTGCAGATAAACTGGTTTTCCTACTATTGTGATCATCAGTGTTGGTCTTTGCAGCCAGCATCACTTTGTTGTTGTAAGTTGTTGTTGGACTCTCTTGCAAACCTCATGACCTGGAGCCTGCCAGACTCCTCTGTCCATGGGATTTCCCAGGCAAGAATACTGGAGTGAGTTAACATTTCTTCCTGACCCAGGGATTGAACTCAAGTCTCCTGTGTTGGCAGGCAGATTCTTTACCACTGAGCCACCAGGGAAGCCCAGCATCACTTTAAGCAGTGGCTAATAATGACCCTTGCCACAATGGACAGCATTTGTCAACGTAAGTTAAAGACAAAAGAGATATTCTGCATTAATTAAGAAAGCCAGGTATTTTAATTTCCTTTGGTATTTTAAAACCAACTGACAGGATTGTTGGCTTTTGAAAATATTAAGGGAAATTCATTTCATCTTCTGGGCATGATGACTTAATTTGAAAGCAGTGTCTGTGACATCAGTCTGTAATCATCCATTTTCCATTTATTCATACAGTATTTGGTGGTATGTGTCTGGTGCTGGGAATAATGCAGGACATCAGTCTGTAATCATCCATTTTCCATTTATTCATACAATATTTGGTGGTATGTGTCTGGTGCTGGGAATAATGCAAACAAAATAATTCAGATAATATCCACTCACCGGGAGCTCAGAGATGGGCATTGATAGTTATATTACTAAATGCAATCAGATCTGTTTTTCCAAACTTAACTCATCTTTAATAAAAGAAAAAAAATGAAGTAAAACATCTGCAACTTGAAATTATTTAATTCATTTGGTGTTTTTTGTTTTTTGGAGGGAACAGCAGCAGCATTAGCATATGGTTCTTTGAGTTGGGTCAGACTGCCCTCTGCAGACTCAGTTATTAACTAAGAACAATCTTAATGTGGGGACCAGGAGATGATAGTTTGGGAACATGCCCAGTGGCTGCAACTCTCTCTCTTTAGAGAATTCTACCTGGAAGAGGCGATACCCCGCTGGCACACTTAAGCAGCATCACCACAGTGGATTAAATGAGATAGGGTGAGGTGGGAATTTGGAGGGAATGGGGATAAGTTGGTCAGAACTTTCTAAGGTAAGTAAGCTACTAGGGCTACTAGTGGTTCCCGAACTTGTCAGCACATCAGAATCACCCATGGAATTTGCTAATTATGGCTTTCAGAGATCGTAATTTAACTGATCATGGCTATGGCTGGGGTCAGGATTCTGAAAGATTCTAATGTGAGAGAAGCTGGGAACCACTGCTGGCAACAGCAAAAGCTGTTTCCTGGCCAGGATTTTTATTAACAAAATCAAAGACAAACTGCTACTTCTATTTTGCTAAGAACCACTTGAGGATGATACACTGTTGGCCACACTGAAACCCAGAGGATACTGGAGTTGAAAGGGAACTGTGATCATTAGTCCAGCAGCTGTACAAGGGCATGTCTTAACGTCATTTATGGCTCCCAGATCTGTTTAGCCTGCATAATGTTCTAAAAAACTTGAGACCATTCACATAAAAATCTGGATGTTTGGTTTGTCTGAAAAGTCGGATCTCACAACTGGACCTGCAGAGCAGCAACAGGTTGGCACTCAGCAGAGGTTTAGCCCCTTGACGGGCACCTGCTCTCTGGTTCACCTGTCTGCACCAGCCTGCCCTAGCAAGCATCTGATTTGGTCCAGGTGGCTCCTACCTTCTACAAAACTAAAAACTAACTTTCTACAACTTTTACCCACTGCTCCCAGCTCTGCAGCACAAAGGAAGCTCACTCCTTCTGTAAGAAGGGGCTTCAACTTGTCAAGGGCAGGATTCTTGCTGTCTCTCTAAGTGTTCTCCTCCAGCTGAATACTCCTAGTTCTTTCAAGTATTCCCAGCATGAAACAGATTCTGGACTCCTTGCTATCCTGGTTCCTGCCTCTTGATACATACATGCTGGTGAGTACCCTCAAAACATGCAGTACCCAGAATGAAATGCAGCACTTGCAGGGTGGTGTTCTGACTATGGCTGTGACACTTCTATTCATAGAATCTTTAAACACCACTAGTTTTTACCAGTGTCATCACATGGTTGGTTCGTACTGAGCCTGTGTCCAACTGAAGTCCCTAAGTCTTCTTTTATATGAAGATGATAAGAAGCTAATTTTCTCTATCCCAAACTTACATAACCTATTTAAATGAAGATGTTACATTTATGACTGGTTTAATTTCATCTTGATGATGTCACTCTGGAACTGTTTTGTGATTGTCATCTATTGTATCAGCAATGTTGGGTTGCTCCATCCTCAAATATGGTCTTTGTGATGCCTTCATCCAAAGTGCTGATTTAAAAATGTTGACTAAGACAGAGCCCTGTGAAATATCAACAGAGGCCAAAATCACACCAACTCATTAGTCAATAATTTGTTTAACCAAAGAGATGTCCATGTACTACACCATCAAGATGTATTTTTCTTATCCATGAGGCTCTTAGGAAACCCTTTCAGGAACTGATTTATACTATTCTCCATTCATCTCATGTAGTGATGTAACAGCCCTATCACAGGAGGGACTAGGTTAACTGCTTTCCCCCGTTTTGAAAATCAAGACGCTAGAAGAATACAGCTGTTTCTTGCTGAAGGCTATCTGGCTACTTTAGGGTATGCCAATCCATCCATTTGAATCTCCACCTGATGGAAGTACAGTTGAGATCATAAGAATTTCTACTCAAGCAGAATCCAGGACTCAGGAGGTCAAGGAAACAGAGATTATGCATGTAGAACCAACAGCCTGTCAACATTTAAGAAAACGGACACAGAGCCTGTTAAGAAGCAAATGACAGACAATTCTTTCTCTACATTAAATCTGATTTTCAACAGATTTAAAAAGGAACCTTAAGCATAACCACACTTAATGACTTGCTTGATCCAGTGATTGTCCCAAAAACAGGCAAAGAATTTAAATAACTTGACCAACTTGGAAACCATCTGGTATGCCAAGGTCCTCCTCTCAGAAAAGCTCAAATTCTTGTGCTCTCTGATGATCTCTCAAAAGCACAGTTTCAGTCCTAGGAAGCCGATCCCCTGAGAATTATTTCGGGACTCTTCGGAGTTCATTCATGAGCCAAAGGGCAGCGCTGAGCAGAGCCAGGGAGCCCGACTGGTGAGCGGCAGCCAAAGGAGTTGGGACGTACGTCAGCAGAGTACTGATGCCCAAGCCCACCTGCCACAGGGAAGAGCAGGCAGTAAGCCAAGCACGAGACACACATGCAGAACCGAAATGACTGGCATGGATAACCAGACACACAAACCCGCCACACTTTCCCATCAGAACTTTAAAAAACACATCTTAAAATTTCACAAGGAAACAGACTTACAACCAAAGAAATTCAAATTAGATAAAACTAAAACTCCCCCTAATTATCCTTCATCTAGCCCTGTTCTCTTTCCCAAAGGTAGCCACTGTTACCAGTTTCTCACACTTGTATTTTTATATACATGTTTAAAGAAAGATATAACAGCTTTTAAAAAATATATTGTTCTGTCATTTGCTTTTTTTTTTTCAAGTAACAGTATATGTCTTGAGATCTTAATATTTTAAACTGCTGTACAGTATTCCACAGGATGGCTGTATCATGGATGTTTATTTAGGGTGTTTCCAATTTTTCACCTTTCACAGTAATTCCATAATGAATTTCCTGGGAACAGTTCTTTGTGCATTAGAGTAGCTCCAGAGCAGGCAAAAATAAGCCAATGTGCTTGATCAAAGGACTAAACATTTTAACACTTCAAAAAATATTGCCAAATGCCCTCAGAAAAACAGCTATAACAAATCATGCTCTCACCAAGAATATACAAATGTATATTTTCCTATACCCATTCCAATACCTGATTTTTTTTTCATTTTTTTCCAATCTGACAGGTACAAAATGGCACACATTGCTTTAATTTGTTCCTCTCTGATCATGAGTGAGGCTAAAGAGTTTTTCATATTTACTGGCTATTCATCATTTCTCTTGTGAGAATTGTGTCTTAATATCCTTTACTTATTTTATTTTCTGTTGTTAATCTTTTAGTCTATTATAAATATTTTCTCCTAGGCCTGTCACCTTTCTTTTTAAATTTTGTTTCGGGGACACCTTCAGAATCAAAAGAAGTGGCTTATACCTGTGTATATGCCAAAGCTAGCAGAGTGGTGGCTGCAATCGTGGTCCTTCGAGGGAGGGGAATTCTTCGGGAGAGGAGGTAGAGTACTGTAATGGCAGTAACTGAAGTGATGCCCTGAGGGTAGAAAGAGTCTCATCAGGTGCCATGTCCTAGCCCCTGGTTTCTGCTCACCTTACAGCTAATTCCCCAGATCCACTGAGTAACTACTGAACACTTTCCCCTCCCAGGCAGAGAACCACCTGATGACTCCTTAAGCTCTTCCCTGCTCCTCTTCTGCTCGCCACTTCAGTGCAAATGGAGGCGTGGCTCCACTTAAAAAGTTACTGCACTTTATACACACTGACTGTCTCTCAGTAATCTTACCCACCTTCCAATGTGGGTGTCTGCCCGATGTGGCCCTCAGGTTTTAAATTACTCTTTGCATCAATCCAGTTCAGCTCAGTCATGTCCGACTCTGTGACCCCATGAACCGCAGCATGCCAGGTCTCCCTGTCCATCACCAACTCCCAGAGTTTACCCAAACTCATGTCCACTGAGTCGGTGATGCCATCCAACCATCTCACCCTCTTTCTTATCCCTAATTTTATCTCTATTTTAATCCTGCATTTTTAAAACAAGGCTGACCCCAGTACATGAGAGTTACTGTTTTCCTGGGCTGTGAGTAGAGGAGGTGGTGGTGCTTCCAGCTAGTGTTAAAAAGATCTAAAGTCTCCCTGTCATTTCCACTTCTTTAGAAAGACAGTCTGGAGCTGGTGGTAGGATTTCCGACCCCACCTTCCATGATATCAAGGAAAATGTTTTCTATCATTTTCTATACCAATTTCACATCTTTTTCTCTTCACAGCTGTCCTCTTCATAGCTGTCCAATTTCAACCAGACTTTACTTATTCCAAAATGCTGTGCGGCAGTGGGGACTGAGGCTGCACAAGGTAACTTGCCCTAGCCCCAGCGTTCCCTCTGGATATGAGGCCCCTGGGCCCCTCTCTCTGCGTGCACTACTGTCATCTCATGCTCAACGTACCTCAGTCTGATGACATCCTCTGTCCCTAGGTTAACACTCATTTCAATAGTCCCATTCCTGCTGGTGTGTTTTAAACATGCCACAGAAGAAACTCTAGGATCGCCTTTGATCTTTCTTCACTTCTGTTCCTGCAGCCAGTCTTCTACTCAAAACAACTTCTTTCAGATTCATCTTCTCAAGTCTGGGTCCTACCATGAAACCCTGAACCCTATCACTCTCACAGCATTACTACAATAGCACTACTGCTTCTCCCAGGTCTCCTTGCCACTAACCTTTCCCTGAGCTCCGATGTATCATGCTCAGGCCACCAAGCAATCTTAACTCGACTCATAGTAGGTCCTTAGTAAATATTAGCTTAAATAAGACGAGGAGTATTTATGATGCTCTTAGCTCCTTGGGGTCTTGGTTCAGCCCTGATGGCTATGTGTTCAGCAACCAGTCTTTACACTCTCTTCTCTACTTGGCCTCATTTCTGCTAAAATGACTCTTGTCTGCATGTACAAGATTGAGGAGAATTAACTTTAAAAAGCTGGCAGTATCCTGCAAGCCAGAATTTGGCTAGAGGTATGTGGATAGTTAAGACAAAAACATCACATCAAAAAACTGGTACTGAATTTCTTCTAAAAAGAATTCTAGTACTCACTCTACCATCTCAATGTTGCTAGCAGTGCTTCAGACACCCAGAGCCTGTGAGAGGCTCCTTGTGTGTAGTAGCCAGTAACCCCCAGCCAGACTTACCAGAACCCGGTGATCAAACTGCACCATGGTGGGATTCTCGAAAACATTCCTCAGGAGAGGGGAGAAGCTAAAGAGATCCTCTGGGATCCAAGATTCTCCCATCTTGGGGAAGGAGTTGTAAACAAGTCCAGCATCCAGCCCTGCCACAAAAGCCCCTGGGTTCCAAGGTAAATAGTATTTATTAAAATGAGAGAAAGAAGAGATCAAATACTAGTTCTGACATGAAAGTGAAAGTTCCCTTTGTGACCCAATGGACTGTAGCCCGCCAGGTTCCTCTGTCCATGGAATTCTCCAGGCAAGAATACTGGATTGGGTAAACATTCCCTTCTCCACGGGATCTTCCTAACCTAGGGATTGAACCTGGGTTTCAATCTGGACTGTAGGCAGGTTCTTTACCCTCTGAGACACCAGGGAAGTTCTGACATAGAAAATGTTTATTATTTCAGAGTTAGACAAAAGGAATAGTCAGAGAATAGAAAGATCTACAGCAGGGGTTCTCAAATCCTGCAGTATTCACCATGGAATACACCATGGAAACTTAAAAAAAAAACTTGCATCCTCACCTACTTCCACCCCAAGATTCTAGCATGCTTTCCCTAGAGGGCTGGATGAGCTCTAGAGAGAGGCATATTAGTTTGGAAAAGTTCCTTTGCTGACTGTGATATGAGTTCTCCTTACTGCCTCACCTCCCCACTGCCAACTGATCTATTCTGACCCTAGTTAATTTACTCTTTCATGTCCTCAAGTTTCCACCTAAATGTTACTTTATCAGAGAGATCTCTCCAATAATCCTATATAAGATAGCACTCCCCAACCCCACGTCTATCCCCTTATCTTGCTTTATTTTCTTTGCAGCACTCAACATCATCTGGTATGTTATGGGTTTTATTGTTTTTCTTAATCTGTCTTCCCCAAGTGCTCAAAAAAATCTTATAAACTAAACCCTGGATAAACACCCAAAGAAGGTATCCATGAATTTAATGGATGACTGATCCATTATTTATGACCACAGAAGATTCAGGTATGTTAAATTATATTCCTTATTTTTTGAAATTGCATTTATAAAGTCAAAATTCATGTTCTTCAATCAAAATAAGTGGGGGGGGGGGAGATTTGGGTGGGATCACTGGTTTGATGGTTTTATTTAGAGCTGTGCTGTCCAATCAAACTTTCTGTGATGATGGAAATGTTCTATATCTGTCATCCGTCCAGTACAACAGCTGCAAGCCACCCACTGTGGTTACTAAGCACTTGAAATGTGGCTACTGTGACTGAGAAACTAAATTTTATTTGCTTTTAATTAACTTAAGCTTAAATAGTCACATGAAGCTAGTAATTATTGTACAGGGCAGTTCTAGAGTAAGAAAGGTAGAGCTGTGATTTAAAGAATGAGAGAGATTTGTTTTAGTCTCTTTGCCCTAATAAACTCCCCACCTAAAGGCCATCTTTGAGGGCAGGCTTTTGTCTGACCTATCTTGCACATAATGTAATAACAATAATGTTTATATGATAACAACAGCTAATACTTATATCGCCTTTGCTACTTGTGAGGTGCTAAATACTTCATATATATTACTTAAACTATTATCATCTTCCCCATTTTTTTTTAAACTTTTAAAATTCATCTGTATTTGTTACAACTTTTTAAAGCAGAATGTGACTTGAGCACTACATTTCCATTCACAAAACTTGCTCCAAGTTACTTTTCCAGCGGCTTTACAACATGCCTGAGCAGGCTTATAATTTTGCTACTCTAAACATATTTTTCTTTGGAAAACAAGCCCTATGTATGGACAGCGACTCCAATCAAGTTGGTTCAGCTTAACACACTAACTTCTAGAGGCCTGGCACATGCAGTCATAACTACAGCGTCATCTTCCCCATTTTATAGATGAGGTCATTGAGGCCCAAACAGGTTACACAGCTTGTCCAAGGTCATATTGTTTATAGATGTTAAAGCCAAGATTTGAACCTAGACAGTTTGGATCCAAGTAGATGTTCAATATTTTTGTTCAACTAACTGAAAAGCAGGATTTGGGGAAGGAAGGAATAGAAAACAAGAGGGTGACGATGGTGGGTATGAGAGAGGCAGTTGTGAGAAGGAGGTATAAAGATGCAGGAGGAAAGCATTAGGCAAGAGATCCCAACTGAAGAGTAAAAAGAAGTTAGGCCACCTTTGATAAGAAGAGTCCTACCTGAGAGAGCCGTAAGGAACACCAGGCCTGCAGTTCCATGAGCAAATCGTCTCAACCTCAGGAGTTGACAGGTTTCAGGCAACTAAATAAGAAAATTGCCAGATACACTGACTGCAGGAATTAGGAAAGGCAGCAAGATCTCCAAGGACAAACTCCAGAGACAATCTGAGGCCAGATCTTCTCTCACTCCTAGACTAGGTTAAACGCTCCCAGAAGACATTCTATTTTATCTAAATTTTATTAAATGTATACATTTACTATTTGTCTTCCCTGCTACCTTGTACGTTTTGTGAAGACAGGAACTGCCATCTCACTTGCTTACTACAGTAATCCTAGCCCAGTAGATGGCATATAGGTATTCAATATACATCTGTTCAGGAATGGACTGATCTGCATTGTTCAGGGAAAACCATTTCACCATGGTTAAGATGATGTGACTTAAGGTAAAGAACTGGATTTTCAAGTCATGTGTAATATTAAGTGTTTAGCAAATATAATCAGAATCAAAACTGTAGAGACAGTAGAGTAGAGTAGAGATTCTTGCATTTAGTGTTTTGGGTAACTTGTTTTTATTTTACTGTAGCCAGCTTGTGATAATAATCAGCAAATCAACAAATATTTAGTAAGAACTTTATACACAGGCAAAATGAGCACACATGCAAGCATAAAGGAAAGATACAAAGGAAAGCCAGCGTGCTGCCCTCAAATGATTTACAATCTAGTATGTGAGGAGTTAGGTATCATTACTAAGATTTCATAGGACAGTGTATCAGCACTGGCCATTAGAATTTTCTGTGATGATAGAAAAGTTCTATTATCTGTGCTGCCCAATATGTGGCTATGGAGGATCTAAAGAGGCTAGAGCAAGTGAAAATTTTTTTAAAAGTTAATTTTATTTAAAGTTTAAGTAGATAAAGTTTGTTTATACAAAGTTATTTTTACTTATTTTAATTAGAATTTAAATAGCAATAGTGGCTAGGAGCTATTGTGCTGGACAGCACAGTTCTATATGGTTGACTATCATCTCAAATCCTTTCTGTAATTAGTGGAATATAAATAAACAAAAAGAGAAGGACAATTAACAATTAAAAAGTCACTGGTAACCTTTAAGAGTACCATTCAGTTAGGAGAACTTAGGAGACTGTACTAAGTACTGAACACTTGGTATGTGCAAGTGTAGGGGTGAATGTGTAGACAGATATGGATGGGGTGGATGGGGAAGCCAGATGACAAGAAGTGGAAAAAAACAATGAGTTGTTAGGAGGTACAGCTATAGATGTAGGTTAGTCTTAGAAGTCTGGCTTTGAGAGTAAGAAGAATAGGAACTAGTTAGATGTGAATTACCTACTATACCAATGTTTCAACCCCATCTGGCTTCCCTGTGGGATGAATGCCAAGTCAACAACTCCTGTTCTTACTGGGATCCAGATCACTGGCTCCAGGTACCTACTAAATGATTCTACTTAAAAGTCCTACTGTCAACCTAAACCTCACTCCATGAACAGGTTATTCAGGCCAACCATGACTTTGACACCTAAAATAACATGCATTTTAAAATGTATTTCCTTTTAATCAGCATACAGAGAAAATACTTCTAGGCAAGATCACTATGGTTTACTATATCGTCAGATATGCTGAATGGTAGGGTCCCCATGGAAAGAACAAACAACTTAACATGGCTTTTGTACACCACTGAGGTCCACATGCAACTCTCATTCTGGCCTTCCTCACCTCTCTACCCATCATCCTGCTGGGAATCAGAAGTCAAGTGGTCGAGGTGCCTCTTGTTGCTGGTATTCATTCCTTCTTTTACTAAAACTCATGTTTTCATCTTTTTCTTGATAGGCAATGCTGACAAAATATTTGGCTCCTATACTAATTCTCCTTTGAATAAGCCACTCCTGCCTAAAAGCATAAGTGCAGGTTTTAGTTAGCCATCCCGAAGCTATCCAGAGTCTCAGAATTCATTGTTTCTCTAAACTTTGGTTATATCCGGCTTCTAGTAAACTGATCGATGTTGCTAAGGGAATGTATGCATTTTGATATGGAACTTCCCATTAGGACCAGAATTTCCATGTCTCTGATCCTGTCCACATGTGTGGTAAACAATACAGCCTGACTTTACCTTGTGCTGAGGAAGCAGCAGGGAGAGCGAGGTCCATAAGCTGGCACAGTAGAGCACAAGGGCTGATCCCAGGTGGGCAGCCAGGCGGTACTGACTGACTCGAGGGATGTCGTGGGAATCTGGTTTTTCTTCTAATCCACTTTTCACCATATACCATCCCAAAAGGCCCTACAATCACAAGGAAAAAAGGCAAACAAGACAAGGTTGAAGCTGTCTATTCAACTTGACTCTTTCAGAAAGTGAGTATCCTATCTGACCCCTCCTTTCCATACGCTCCCACATCCCCAGGAACCAAGGAATTGAGACCTACCCAATTTCCACATACAGCACCATAAATACTTAACCACTGTTTAGAATTAAAGTTTTATTGAAGTAGAAGCCTATAGTCAAAGCTATGGTTTTTCCAGTAGTCACGTATGGAGGTGAGAGTTGGACCATAAAGAAGCTGAGAGCCGAAGAATTGATGCTTTTGAACTATGGTGTTGGAGAAAACTCTTGAGAGTCCCTTGGACTCAAGAAGATCAAACCAGTCAATCCTAAAGGAAATCAGTCCTGAATATGCATTGGAAGGACTGATGCTGAAGCTGAAGCTCCAATACTTTGGCCACCTGATGTGAAGAATTCATTGGAAAAGACCCTGATGCTGGGAAAGATTGAAGGTAGAAGGAGAAGGGACGACATAAGATGAGATGGTTGGATGGCATCACCAACTCAGTGGACACAAGTTTGAGCAAGTTCTGGGAGTTGGTGATGGACAGGAAAGCTTGGTGTCCTGCAGTCTATGGGGTCGCAAAGAGTCAGACATAACTGAGTGACTAAATTTAACTGAACTGAAGTAGAACCAAATATGATGGCTACTCCATTTCTTCTAAGGGATTCTTGCCCACAGTAGTAGATATAATGGTCAGCTGAGTTATATTCACCCATTCCAGTCCATTTTAGTTCACTGATGCCCAAAAAGACGATGTTCACTCATAGTCAACAAAACAGTCCGAAATGCAGTACTTGGATGCAATCTCAAAAATGACAGAATGATCTCTGTTCCTTTCCAAGGCAAACCATTCACTATCACAGTAATCCAAGTCTATGCCCTGACCAGTAATGCTGAAGAAGCTGAAGCTGAAGCTGAATGGTTCTATGAAGACCTACAAGACCTTCTAGAACTAACACCCCAAAAAGATGTCCTTTTCATTATAGGGGACTGGAATGCAAAAGTGAAAGAAACACTTGGAGTAACAGGCAAATTTGGCCCTGGAGTACAGAACGAAGCAGGGCAAAGGCTAACAGAATTTTGCCAAGAGAACGCACTGGTCATAGCAAACACCCTCTTCCAACAACACAAGAGATGACTCTACACATGGATATCACCTGATGGTCAATACCACAATCAGATTGATTATATTCTTTGCAGCCGAAGATGGAGAAGCTCTATACAGTCAGCAAAAACAAGACTGGGACCTGACTGTGGCTCAGATCATGAACTCCTTATTGCCAAATCCAGACTTAAAATGAAGAAAGGAGGGAAAACCACTAGACCATTCAGGTATGACCTCAATCAAATCCCTTACGATTATACAGTGGAAGTGACAAATAGATTCAAGGGATTAGACCTGATAGACAGAGTGCCTTAAGAACTATGGACGGAGGTTCGTGACATTGTACAGGAGGCAGGGATCAAGACCATCCCCAAGAAAAAGATATGCAAAAAGGCAAAATGGTTGTCTGAGGAGGCCTTACAAATAACTGTGAAAAGAAGAGAAAGTGAAAGTGAAGTCGCTCAGTTGTGTCTGACTCTTTGTGACCCCATGGACTGTAGCCTACCAGGATCCTCAGTCCATGGGATTTTCCAGGCAAGAATACTGGAGTGGGTTGCCATTTCCTTCTCCAGGGGATCTTCCTGCCCCACGGATCAAACCCAGGTCTCCCACATTGTAGGCATACGCTTTACCATCTGAGCTACCAGGGAAGCCCGAAAAGAAGAGAAGTGAAAGGCAAAGGAGAAAAGGAAAGATATACCCATTTGAATGCAGAGTTCCAAAGAATAGCAAGGAGAGATAAGAAAGCCTTCCTCAGTGATCAATGCAAAGAAATAGAGGAAAACAACAGAATGGGAAAGACTAGAGATCTTTTCAAGAAAATCAGAGATACCAAGGGAACATTTCATGCAAAGATGGGCACGATAAAGGACAGAAATGGTATGGACCTAACAGAAGCAGAAGATATTAAGAAGAGGTGGCAAGAATACACAGAAAAGCTATACAAAAAAGATCTTCATGACCCAGATAATCACGATGGTGTGATCACTCACCTAGAGCCAGACATCCTGGAGTGCGAAGTCAAGTAGGCCTTAGGAAACATCACTACGAAGAAAGCTAGTGGAGGTGATGGAATTCAGTTGGGCTATTTCAAATCCTAAAAGATGATGCTGTGAAAGTGCCACACTCAATATGCCAGCAAATTTGGAAAACAGCAGTGGCCACAGGACTGGAAAAGGTCAGTTTTCATTCCAATCCCAAAGAAAGGCAATCCCAAAGAATGCTCAAACTACCACACTGCACTCATCTCACACGCTAGTAATGCTCAGTATTCTCCAAACCAGGCTGCAACAGTACATGAACCATGAACTTCCAGATGTTCAAGCTGGATTTAGAAAAGGCAGAGGAACCAGAGATCAAATTGTCAACATCCACTGGATCATCGAAAAAGCAAGAGTTCTAGAAAAACATCTATTTCTGCTTTATTGACTATGCCAAAGCCTTTGACTGTGTGGATCACAACAAACTGTGGAAAATTCTGAAAGAGATGGGAATATCAGACCACCTGAGCTGCCTCCTGAGAAATCTGTGTGCAGGTCAGGAAGCTACAGCTAGAACAGGATGTGGAACAGACTGGTTCCAAATAGGGAAAGGAGTATGCCAAGGCTGTATATTGTCACCCTGCTTATTTAACTTATATGCAGAGTACATCATGAGAAATACTGGGCCGGATGAAGCACAAGCTGGAATCAAGATTGCCGGGAGAAATATTAATAACCTCAGACATGCAGATGACACCACCCTTATGGCATTAAGTGAAGAAGAACTAAAGAGCCTCTTGATGAAAGTGAAAGAGGGGAGTGGAAAAGTTGGCTTAAAACTCAACATTTAGAGAACTAAGATCATGGCATCTGGTCCCATCACTTCATGGCAAATAGATGACAAAACAGTGGAAACAGTGACAGACTTTACTTTTTCAGGCTCCAAAATCACTGCAGATGGTGACTGCAGCCATGAAATTAAAAGACGCTTGCTCCTTGGAAGAAAAGTTATGACCAACCCAGACAGCATATTAAAAAGCTGAGACATTACTTTGCCAACAAAGGTTTGTCTAGTCAAAGCTTTGGTTTTTCCAGTAGCTGTGTATGGATTGAGAGTTGGACTATAAAGAAAGCTGAGCACCGAAAAATTGATGCTTTTGAACTGTGGTGTTGGAGAAGACCCTTGAAAGTTCCTTGGACTACAAGGAGATCCAATAAGTCCGTCCTAAAGGAAATCAGTCCTGAATATTCATTGGAAGGACTGATGCTGAAGCTGAAACTCCAATACTTTGGCCACCTGATGCAAAGAACTGACCCATCTGAAAAGACCCTGATGCTGGGAACGATTGAGGCAGGAGGAAAAGGGGACGACAGAGGATGAGAAGGTTGGGTGGTATCACTGACTCGATGGACATGAGTTTGAATAAACTCCGGGAGCTGGTGATGGACAGGGAGGCCTGGCATGCTGCATGCAGTCCATGGGGTCAGAAAGAGTCGGGACACGACTGAGTGACTGAACTGAACTGAAAAGCCAAATATAGAAAATTACACAAAGGTGTATTTTGGAGAAAACCTTTTGGACAAATTCTTGATATAATTTAACATTATGTAAACCAGTAAAATATGAAAGTAAAAAGATGATTTGATAAGAGCTAGACTGAAACCTCTGGAGAAGTTTGACAAAGATAACCGCTTAAAAACAATTACTCTCATATTAGGTGGGAAGAGACAATTATCAAAGTTTGTGGGAGGCCAATTCATAAAAATCTGTAAAGTTTTTCAGGCAAATTGGTTTGCCAGTGTCTAAATTTCTACTCCTTTTTTAAAAAAATTATAATGAAAGTACATGCTTAAGTGTAAAAGTTTAAGGTATGTGTTACTATTCTACGATTCCCTGTTTAACTGAGTTTTCATTTAACAAAACTGTCAGCTCTAGTCATATCAGATAAGGTACAGCCCTTTCACGCCAACCCTCCCCAGCTAACAGAATCATGTTAACATAAATATATGCTCCTCAAGGTCTTTTTGGCTATTTCTTTCCCCCTTCACTATTACCCTAGATGTTCTAATTATCTTGATTTCATCTGCAGAGGACGCTGGAAGATGAGGGCGTTCACAGTGTGATCTGCCAGCCCCTACTTTCTTCCTCCCAAAACCCTATCTGCCATCTTCAAATTTTTGCCTCCCTGAAAGTCTGACTTAAATGGTTTTTGTTTTTTTTTTTAATTTTTAAACAACCTTTTACTGTTTCACCAACTATCTCTAGTTTCTATTAGATTTTTATTAATGTCTAACTCTTTATTATCTGTTTCTATCCCTTCTGTTTTGTGTCTTCCATTTCCCTCCTTTATTTCTAATCATGGGTTGGTATTCTTACCACTTTGATTTAAATCAACCAATTAGTTTCCTCCTGACCAAATTTTGATATTTCTTTGATGCTCTGGGACTCTCCTTTAGAGCCTGTGTATCTTGACCCAAATACTCCCATGTGTCCTCTCTAACATTCCTTTACTTGGCTCTCAAGCTTCCCTAACCCCAGAACTGTAGGAATCATTCGTTTCCTTAAGAGAAGTTCAACTTACATAACTTTAATCACCATTTATACTTGAACATCTCTCAGTTACCTCTGTATTCAAAGATCCTTCATCCCACAAAATGTTTCTCTTGAAATTTCCCTATTTGTCTCTACAGCCATTCTAACATAGGGATCCCACTTCCCCATAGAGCAGGCAAGTTAGAAAAAGGGAGGAGACCAAGGACCCAGAAAGATCGCCATGATGGGAAAGAAACTCTAATTCTTGTGACACAAAAACATATTTACTGAGTGCTTACTGATTCCAGACACTAAACTAAGTAGTTTACATGCACGATCTTTTTTAATATTCACACAACCTAAGCATTAGGGTCTATTATTTTCCCCATTTACAGGTAAGGAAAGCACAACCTACGGAGGTTAGACAACATGCCCTATTAAGTGACAGAGCCGGGCCTTGAAGCCAGGCCTATGACACTAAAATCCATGTTCTTACCTCCTTTGTGATACTGTTTCAAAGATTACTTTACTAAAAACTATGCCCACTAGGAAGCTCCTGAGAACATTTCTGCTTTCCCAAACTTGAGTAAATCTCACCTGGAAGCAAACTAAACCACAGAGGGCAAGAACACGTCCTTTCAGGCCACGGGTGAGCCAGCCCTTTTTCCAAAAGTAGGCAGCAGGCAGGATGTATGCAAGGCCTACAAGGCGACCCCACATTCGGTGTGAGTACTCCATGTACCAGATGAACTTGAATTCCGCCAGCGTCATATCATGATTCAAGCTGGGTGAAAAGGGAAGTCAAAAATAAGAAAGATCCATCTGATTTTTATTTCTTGATAGAATGCAGGAACATTCTTGGTTTTTAAACTTGATCAGTCTGCCATTTTCCTCATCAACCACCTCAGAATCACTTTGGAAATGGAGGTTTAGAGTAGGAAGCTCACTAAACATACCTAAATCAAATATCAAAAAAGAATAGAACCTACTGTTCTGAAATATTTTAAATAAGAAAAAGATTGAGTGGTTCTAGTAGGATGTTTACCCGATTTTCTATAATACTTACATTTTAAATTCTGGAAATTGCTGATATTTTTGGAATTCTGCTTCCCATTCCTCTTGGCTTGTGGGTGGCTTCATCTCCTTTATTAAATGCCAATCTACCATGGAGAGGCCAGACTCTGTCAGCCTTAAGGTAGGGAAGAAATTTGAGTGTGTGTGTTAAATTTCAGTGTATATGTCTGTGCACCACACTCCATTACTCATAAATGGTTTACAGTAGCAAGCAGATCTGAACTTGACCCCTATAAAAGTAAACATATAATTTCACTGTTTCCTCTTTTGACAACTTGCTCTTTTCTTACTGCTTAGAATTCTGTCAGAAAGAACTGCTATCAGGTACAAATTTCTTTACTCCTTGTTCTATTTCATTAAACTCTCCTTACTTCTTTCACTAGCATTCCCTGACAGATAAAATCAACCCTTAGACCAAAGAAATGTGCCCTAAGAGCATAACCAATATTACTTACACAAGGGGAAGAGATTGCTACAGACAGAAATCAGTTGAGGTTACTGAGTGAATTTAAAGTCAATAAAAATCAAAATTTATTGATTACAGGCTACATAACACATAAGGTAAGGGCACAGGGAATGCAGAGAGAATTTGAGGAAGACATACTTTAATAACACTAGAAAGTATTTTCACTAAAAGGGGTCAGGGTTCCAAAAGTAAAAAAGCTGACTTCAGGTCTGAGGCAAGACAAGCCTGTAACATCTTACCCAGAAAGCAAGGGATCAAAGTTTCCCAGGTTCCTGTCAGAAAGACTGGAGTCAATCTGAAGAGGTTCCCAGTGACTAAAGATAGGACAACTGGAGCAAATCATCACCACTGCAATGGACTGAAACAAATATTTAAACCTATGAGCTCACTAACACTTAAAAACTCACTTTATTGGTCACTTTTGGAAAATGCTTGGGAACCAACTTATTCTTTTGAAGACTGATAAAGGGAAAGGAGTTAAGTGTTTATCCTGCCTTTCCTAACATGTTGTACCTCAGCATAACCAAATTACTGATGGAAGTTTTTCTTTATAGTTGAGCTAATAAAATACCTATTACAATTTTGCAACTCTAATGAAGTAACAGATTTAGGCAACGATCATCAAGGGCCATTGACATCTTTAACAGACACCAGATATTTATGAATGATCCAGTCGCCTATGAAGTGTTTTGCTCCCTGTCCCCAACCTGAACCTGATCAAGCAACAAGTTTGTCTACAGGAAATACAGGGGACAATGTTGTTGTTGTTGTTGTTGTTGCTGTTCAGGTGCTCAGTCATGTCTGACTCTGCAATCCCGTGGACTGCAGCATGCCAGGCTTCCCTGTCCTTCACTATCTCCCAGAGTTTGCTCAAACTCATGTCCATTCGGTTGATGATGCCATCCAACCATCTCATCCTCTGTTGTCCCCTTCTCCTCCTGCCTTCAATCTTTCCCAGCATCAGGGTCTTTTCCAGTGAATCTGCTCTTTGCATCGGGTGGCCAGAGTATTAGAGTTTCAGCTTCAGCATCAGTCCTTCCAATGAATATTCAGAGTTGATTTCCTTTAGGTTTGACTGGTTTGATCTCCCTGCTGTCCAAGGGACTCTCAAGAGTCTTCTTCAGCACCACAGTTTGAAAGCATCGATGCTTCGGCGCTCAGCCTTCATTATGGTCCAACTCTCATATCCATATATGACTCCTGGGAAAACCATAGCTTTGACTATATGGGACTTTGTTGGCAAAGTGATGTTTCTGCTTTTTAATATGCTGTCTAGCTTTGTCATAGCTTTTGGAACATGTTAAATACCATAAATGCTATTAGCAAAATCCAGACCATGAGAAACTACAAAGTACAAATGACTTGGGTTTCTTCAACAACAGCAAAAAACTGCAAAGGGGGTAGGGAAGGTGAAGGGAGCAGAATCCAAATCTATAACATCTCTCTACAGATTTAAAGAGACCCAAGAAGCATGCACGGGCTTCCCAGGCAGCGCCAGTGATAAAGAACCCTCCTGCCAATACAGGAGACGTCAGAGACACAGGTTCGATCCCTGGGTTGGAAAGATCCCCTGGAGGAGGGCATGGCAACCCACTGCAGTATTCTTGCCTGGAGAATCCCATGGACAGCGGAGCCTGGTGGGCTACAGTCCAAGGGTCACAAAACATCGGACATGACTGAAGCAACCAAGCATGAAGCACATGCACAGGAACCAACAGTGAGATGTGGAACTTATTTGTGTGTAGTTCAAACAAACTGTACAGAAATTTTTGTGACAAATCTGAACTCTGATTGTAGGGGGAAATATACACAAACAATGCACAGCTAACAGTTAAGACCTGAACCAGTCTTTATGAAGGGCTTCTACTGCATGCATGCATTAGTAAAATCCTAGACTGTTCTATGGCGGGGCAAGCCATCTGACATGTTCCTCCTATAGGCCTCAATTTCTGCATACTAAAATGTGGGAGCTAGATTAGATGATTTCTAAGGTCCCTTCCCCCTCCGTCATCCTGCATGTCTACTGATGATCCAAATAGCTGACTATGAACAAATTACTCACCTTGTTACTCCACCAAGAATAACTGCTCCAGCCACTGTCCCACTGCAGACCAGGAGCCATCGGCCCACCGCCCGCTCAGCAGCCTTTGAAGGGAGGGATACTGTACCCCTTCCAGGTTGCAAAGCTACATTGGAGATAGTGCTGTATTGCCCTGGCCTCAAAGGGCGCCTGATCCCACAACTGCAACCACACTAAGGATCAAGAAAGACAAATTACAACTGGAGAAAGAGGAAAAGCCTTCACTCCACTGCTACTCACACAGTCTCACTGTGTCTGGTATGAAGTATCCTGGTCATATTTCCACTGCTAATGTCCAGGTAAAACGTCATCTCTTATCTGGGCTGCATCTATCCCCAAGTGGTTTGCCTGCCTCCAATCCATCCCCACTACGTGAACCTTCTGTCTCTCATATTTCTCCAAGACTTAACTCTACACCTAAATATGGATTAAATAAGGATTATTTTCTTTTTTTTTTTAATATGATTTTTCTCTAACTGGGGTTCCACTTGTCCCCTGACTGACCTATCACAGATCTCAGCCTGGATGTCACCTCCTCTAGGAAGTATTCCCAGACCTCCCCCACCTCCCCATGTGTGCTGGCTCACTCTCCCAGCACACTGTATCTCTCCATCACACAGCAATGTATCATTTAGTACACAGAGGTTTGTCTCTATCTCCCACTAAGCTATGAGCTACAGGACAGCAGTGTCTGGTCAGTCTGGCTTCTACAAACTTCCTTTCATACACGATTCCTTTACATAACAAGACCTTAATAAAGATTTGACAAATGAGTTACAAACAAATGAACTGTGACTCCCTCTTGGGCAGGAGACTTGGTATTTTATCTTGCTTCCCCGACCCAGGGATCAAACCCGAGTCTCCTGAGTCTTCTGCATTGGCAGGTGTATTCTTTACCACTGAGCCACCTGCGAAGACCAGTTAACTAAGTAACTTTAGACAAATTAAGCCTCAATTTACTTCTCTGTAGAATGGAGTTACAGTCCCTAACCTGACTACCCAGTAGCTTTGAGCAGAAATCAAACACATGTGTAAAAATCACTGAGCTTTTACTATGTGCTAAACCTCTGTGTATATTATTTAATACAACACTTATGAAGTGCTATTATCCCCATTTTGCAGACGAGTAAATTGAGGCACAGAAAGGTTATCCAACTTGGCTAAAAGCACACAGCTAGTAAATGGTAGGTCCGCATGCGAACTCAGGAGGCCTAGACACAATGAAATGCCTTGTGAACTTCAAGGAGCTACAGAAACGTGATGTGTGAGGATCTATTACCTCTTGGCCCTTTCACCCCATGCCCGCTTCCGCGACTCAGCGCGCTGCAGTGCGGTACCTGTGTTCTAGGCGCCACCCTAGGAACCAGGAGCCGGAGACACGGGCTCCCCAGCAAGGCCTTCAAGGGCGTAAAGAGTAATCGCTGCATACTATACACGGTGCCCAACGGCCACCTTCAACCTCCTGTGCTCTCTGGTCCCCTTTCTCCGCCACCGACGGAAGAAGCACTTCCGGGTCACACAAACGAGCCCCTCCTCTTTAGAAGGCAGGGGCGAGCAGTAACTGCGCCTGCGCCACTTTCTGGGCTTTCGCGGGGGCTGCTGGGGCGTGGACGTCGGGGACGCGCAGGGATGCGCGCAGCTGGGAGGACGCGCCCGTCTGGTCGCGCGCCTTGGAACCCGGACTCTTTGAGTGGAAACCGAAGACGCACGAGGGAGGAACGCGTGGAGCATGAAGAGGCAGGGGGCCTCCTCCGAGCGGAAGCGGGCGCGGATACCATCCGGGAAGGCGGGTGCGGAAGGTGGCGGGATGGGGGCGGTGGCCGACTTTGCTGCGGGGTACGGGCCGGGCCGGGTCGGGCGGGGGTTCTGGCCCGTGGATCAATCGCGATTTCCCTGAAAGTACTTTCTCCTGCTCCTCACAAACACCCGCCGTGAGGCGTAATCTGTCATTCGGCTTTAAACATGTGGAATCTGAGGGACTGTTGGCGAGAGTGGCCGGGCTCTGGAGCCAGATATGTGTGTGGGTTCGAATCCGGCGCCCCCACGTCTCGTCGTGCGACCGTGTTCAAGTTGGTTAACTTCTGTCAGCCTCGCGTTTCCCATCGCCACACGAGGATACTGGTACCCCCTCACGGCAGCGCTGGATCAGTGTCTGACCTGGAGGGACTGCTTAATAACCTATAGCTGCTGCGGCGAGGATAGGGGTTGTCCCTAAAGCCACACCGCTCCGAAATGGCAAAGCTTGGCTGCCCCAAGTCAGGAGTTCTTCCTGCTGCGACAGGATCGGCTGGCATGGCAGGTGCTAGGGAATTTGCCAGGTTCCTCCTCCGGAAACTTGGTTCCTCCAAACTAGCGGTTCTGAAACTGATGGCAGGACTCCTTGATCCTCCTAAAATTATTGAGAACCTCAAAGACCTTTTATTTATATAGGTTAAACTTATTGATATTGGACATGTTAGAAATTAAAACAGGACATTTAAAAACAAAGGGTTTCCCTTGTGGCTCAGCAGGTAAAGAATCTGCCTGCAATGAGAGAGACCTGGGTTCGATCCCTGGGTTGGGAAGATCCCCTGGTGAAGGGAACGGCTGCCCACTCAGGTATTCTGGCCTGGATAAGTCCATGGGGGTCGCAAAGAGTCAGATAACGACTGAATGACTTTCACTTTGTTTCTTTCACAAACAGAAACCCTGTGCATGTTGACACGTTTTATGGGAAAAAAAAAATCACTATTTTCCTAAGCAAACAAAAAATAGAATAGTACCAATGTTTTATATTTTTGCAAATCTCTTTAATGTCTGGCTTAATGAAATTCTCATTAAGAATGGAGTGCTTTTGCATTCAGTGTGACAGGTAGCCTCTCGAAAACTCTACTCTGCCTGTGAGAGAATGAGGGTGAAAAAGGCAGCTAAAATCTTGGTATTGTTACAAAAATAATTTTCATTGTACAGACTCTGAAAGCGTCTTAGAGGCCCTTAGTCCAGAGTTAACTGGACAGCTACACTGAGAACTGCTGCTCCAAACAAATCTCCTCTTTGATCCCTTCAAATAACTTCCTATTTTAGGACAACTGCCTTACTCTTTTCTTTTTGTCATAGCCTTTTATGTGCATCCTTACTCTCTCCTGGCCAAAATCTTTTTCTTTTTCTTTTTTTTTTTTTTGGCCACAGCCTGCAGTTTATGGGATTTTAGTCTCCTAACCAGGGACCCACCTTGGGGCCCTGGCATTGAAAGCACCAGAATCTCAACCACTGGTGCATGCTCAGTTGCACAATGGTGTCTGACCCTTTTGACTCCGTGGACTGTAGCCCACCAGGCTTCTCTGTCCATGGGATTTCCTGGCAAGAATACTGGAGTCGGTTGCCATTTCCTGTTCCAGGAGATCTTCCCTACCTGGGGATTGAACCCACATCTTCTGCATTAGCAGGCGGATTCTTTACCACTGAGCCTCCTGGGAAGCCCTTTAACTACTGAACTGCTGGGGAATTCCTGCCAAGATCTTGTCTTGTGTGAGGGAAGTGGTACCCCTACAGCACTGTTCAGTTAGATGGATCTAACAGCTGATATGGGTGAGTTATCAGGAAACCCATGGAATTAATGCAGTGCTGTTGGCTAAGAGCATAGAGAGTCTCTTGGCCCTTTCAGAGTTTGAAGCTGATAGTCTTTTAAATAAATGCGGCATTTGCAGTTTGATGTTAGGGAATGATAGATATTTGTTTTTCAAATTTAAAGTTGACTTTAAAAAACTATAAAAGCAAAAAAAAAAAAACTATAAAAGCAACATTAGGTAGAAAAAAAATCACCAGTATAGAAAAGTAAAAAGAAGAAAGTAAAAGTAATTTTAAATACCACCACCTGGAAGTAACAATTACCAGGATATGCTGAACATTCCTCTAGATATTATTGCATGAAGTATGCATTCATTTCTTAATTTTTTTTAAAAAAAGTGTGTGCTTACAGAAAAAATTCAAAACTGTTTTCATCACACTCTTTAGTGTAGATACATGAATGTTTATGAATTTATAATCATTCAGTTCAGTTCACTGGCTCAGTCGTGTCCGACTCTTTGCAGCCACAAGGACGACAGTACTCGAGGCTTCCCTGTCCAGCACCAACTCCTGGAGCTTGCTCAGACTCATGTCCATCGAGTCAGTGATGCCATCCAACCATCTCATCCTCTGTCGTCCCCTTCTGCTGCCTTCAATCTTTCACCATCAGGGTCTTTTCCAATGAATCAGTTCTTTGCATCAGGTTGCCAAAGTATTGGAGCTTCAGCTTCAGCATCAGTCCTTCCAATGAATATTCAGTCCTGCTTTCCTTTAGGATTGACTGGTTGGATCTCCTTGCAGTCCAAGGGACGCTCAAGAGTCTTCTCCAACACCACAGTTCAAAAGCATCAATTTTTGGCACTCAGCTTTCTTTATGGTCCAACTCTCACATCCATGTAATCATTCAGCCTTTAGTAAATCTTTGTGTGTCTGTTGTGTACTATGAGCTATATACTATAAGCACACTAGACTGTGCTTACTGTGAGTGATGAAGATTTCTCTCATAAAGACCTTAGGAACTTTAGTTCAAGTAAGAATGATCAGACACCTATCTACATAAATAATAGTAAGAGAAAACAATGTTTTAAAGAGGAACATTTGGATTATAAAGAGTTGTCTGAGTTCAAAAAAGGGAGACACAGTTTTCTACCTGGGGAGGGAGAAGTATCATGGAAATGTGATATGACTTGAACCTTGGAAGATTTTAGTGTACAAAGATAGAACTGGAAGCACTGTGGATTGAGGAGATAACCAGGAGCAGGGATGGGGATCAGGGAGAAGTGGAGACCTGTAGAGGAAATAACGTGTAGTTAACTAATAACAACTAATAATTTCTGTACACTTAGTAGGTACTGTTCACTTTACATGAATTATCTCATCCTCTTTACTCTGATGTAAGTATTAAAACCTACTCTGGGGCTTCCCTGTTAGCTCAGTTGGTAAAGAATCTGCCTGCAAGGCAAGGCAGGAGACCCTGGTTCAATTCCTGGGTCGGGAAGATCCACTGGAGTAGATAAAGGCTACCCATTCCAGTATTCTTGGGCTTCCCTTGTGGCTCAGCTGGTAAAGAATCTGCCTGCAATGCAGGAGACCTGGGTTTGATCCCTGGGTTGAGAAGATCTCCTGAAGAAGGGAAAGGCTACGCACTCCAATATTCTGGCCTGGAGAATTCCATGGATTGTCAATTCCATGGGGTCACAAAGAGTCGGACATGACTGAACAACTTTCAAAAAAAAACTCTGTTTTGGGGAAAACTTAGGCTAAGTAACTGGTCTATAATCGCATATTAAGAAATATGTTGTCAGATAAGGATTTGAAGTTCATCCCTGCTCTTAAGCATATATGCCTTATAAAGAAGAATGTATTCTGCAGGCATTGATATGATATTTCATTGCATGCATGGACCCTAGTGTACTTACGTAGTTACCTGTTACTACACATTTAAATTTTGGCAGCAAAATGGAAAATATTTGTGTTTGGCTTGGTCTGGATGGAAAGTACCCTCATGCAGTTTCACTGTTCTCCATGTATTTTAGGAGCAGCAAATGGGTTTCTCATGGAAGTGTGTGTTGATTCAGTGGAATCGGCTGTAAATGCAGAAAGAGGAGGTAAGAGAAATTATGGAATGAATGGCAGTTGGCAGTCCGTTAAGAGTTTGAAAATGAATCCTTTGAATTGAACTTGAGAACCTTTATGATCTCTGAAGAAAACAACCAACCAACTAGAAAACCTACTGATCTTCTAGTTTTACTTCCCCAGTAGGTTACATTTTGAGTCAAGTGTCCATGATAGTGATTATGAACCTACTTTTTTTTTAATTGAATTTAGCAAAGATATAATTTTTTCCAAGCCATTAATTTTAGAGATTTGATGTTTTTTTCATTGTCAAGACTTATCATTATTTCTTTTTTTTTTTTGAATGTTATATATTTTACCTCAAGATTTCTTTTGCACCCTAACTTGCTTTAATAAGAAGCATAGAAATTCCCATCATCTCAGGATCAGAAAAATTTTTAGACTTCATTATGGAAAATTTCAAACATATACAAAAATAGAATGGTATAATGAATTACTACGTACCCATCAGCTTTAATTATTTTCAGTACATGGCCAATCTTTCAGTTGTATCAGGGGTGAGCAGACTTTTTGTAAAGAGCAAGACAGTATGTATTTCGACCTTGCTGGCTACATTTGGTCTCTGTCATATTTACTTTTTTTTGGTCATGCTACAGGGCTTACAGAGTCTTAGTTTTCCTCACGAGGGCTTGAACCTGTGCCCTCAGCAGTAAAAAATTGGGAGTCCTGACCACTGGACCACCAGAGAATTCCCACTTCTTAGTTTTTTAAAATAATCCTTTGAAAGGGTAAAAACCATTCTTAA